AAATTGATGATTTAACAAAAAGAATAGAAATTATTGAAGAGCGAATAAATCAAATTATTGATTTCATAAATCATGACTCGTTGAGCCCGGGTCCTTAAAGCCCATCACTGAGTTCAAGGTTATATTCATCAAATATTTCATTATTAAATGCAACTTCTGCTAGTTTATTTATTTTTTCAATACGATCATTTGAAAGTCTATCGTTTAATTTTTTCTGAAGTTTTTCATTTCTAGTTCTGAAACTTTATTTGGATGATATGTAAATTCATGAAACTCTTTGGCCTCGGTTTTGATCATTAATTTACAAAGAACTTTTGTGGTTGGAATTCGTTTGAACCATTTATTAGTTATATTCGTTATATATTCAATATCTGGAATTAATTCCCAAATTTTTGCATTTTCAATTAATTTATTATCAAATGCAAAAGCAATGGGTTTAATATTATGTTTACCTTTATAATATAAACTTTCTACATAATCATCGAAATAAACATCTACTTGTTTAACATTTTCAAGAATTGGTGAAAGAGCATCCATTAATTGATTGACGGTTACGAATCTTGATCCACTCATTTTCTTACGAATTAAAAAAATAAATTATTATTTCATTATGTATGGGCTGAGTGTAAATGTCTTACAATTTTGAAAATTTTTTAAATCTTGATTTATTCAAAAACGTAAGAATAAAAACCGTAAGAATCATACATTTTTTACTTCATATGTTAAAAAAAATGATACAAAATCGTTCAATATTGTATGAATTCTTACGTTTACAAAAAAAGTCACACAACCCTTCAACATATACTACTATGCCTTATATATATATATTTGCCATTCTATAATTGAACGATTCGCATACTCCCTATATCAACCTCTTAAATCGTGGTTTTTAGAATTTTTTTTTCCAATACCTTCTTTAAAAAGCGACGTAAATTCCAGGAAGACTCGATATATGCTGAATGTAAGAATTGGCCACCTTATCTTACAGCAATTAATTAAGAATCAGCATAATTACTCATTTCTCATTGTGATGGTTTCATTGCAAAAAGTGTAGAAAAAGAAAGTACAAAAAAAAAGTGAGTGCGGGACAAATTTGCCAGGTGTCACTTTTTCAATAACCTTAAATTACGCTTTTCTAATTTTTTAAAATAACCTTAAATTATATTTGAAGAAATTATGTCTATGATATATGTTTTATGCTAGAATCTTGGAGTTTTCATGCACTACACAAGAGCTCCAAGGTTCCAAGAGTGAATGCTCAATAGCAATTATAGAGATGTACCTTTTCAAAATGACTTTTACTGATTAAATTTAATCAATAGAAGACATTTTGAAAAGGTACCTCTACAATTAGATATACAAGAGATTCAAAGCTTCATTTCAGATAGATTTGAAACTTTGAAACTCTTGGTAGATTTTGAGTGAATGCTGACAATCATCTTTGAGAAGGTTTTCTTTAAGAAAACCTTCTCAAAGAGGTTTCTCAGGAGCCCTGAGGCTCTCTTTCGTAATGATTGGGAGCCTTGGACTCCTGAGACGAAGAATGGCTTCGCCGAATCTTTGATCAGCAGAGGCCAAATGAAAAGGCCTCTGCTGATGGATTCTCAGGAGCCCTGAGGCTCCCTTTCGTAATGATTGGGAGCCTTGGGACTCCTGAGACGAAGAATGGCTTCGCCGAATCTTTGATCAGCAGAGGCCAAATGAAAAGGCCTCTGCTGATGGATTCTCAGGAGCCCTGAGGCTCCCTTTCGTAATGATTGGAGCCTTGGGACTCCTGAGACGAAGAATGGCTTCGCCGAATCTTTGATCAGCAGAGGCCAAATGAAAAGGCCTCTGCTGATGGATTCTCAGGAGCCCTGAGGCTCCCTTTCGTAATGATTGGGAGCCTTGGGACTCCTGAGACGAAGAATGGCTTCGCCGAATCTTTGATCAGCAGAGGCCAAATGAAAAGGCCTCTGCTGATGGATTCTCAGGAGCCCTGAGGCTCCCTTTCGTAATGATTGGGAGCCTTGGGACTCCTGAGACGAAGAATGGCTTCGCCGAATCTTTGATCAGCAGAGGCCAAATGAAAAGGCCTCTGCTGATGGATTCTCAGGAGCCCTGAGGCTCCCTTTCGTAATGATTGGGAGCCTTGGGGCTCCTGCAGCAGAGTATCGCTCCGCTCCATTAAATTTTTTAAAAAAAGTGCCGTGTGGCAAATTTGTCCTGTTCCCCATCTTTATTATTTTTTTTATTCCTTTGAAAAGTGACACTGGATAGTTTGTCCCTTTCTCAAAAAAAGTTACGGTAGACAAAATTTGACATGCACTCAATATTTTCAGCTATCAAACATAAATTTAGAGGCAATTTAATTTATTCCTTCTATTTTTAGAATTAAATTTTTAGCTATCATACATTAAAATAAAAACATAAATGCTACTAATGAAGTTTTGCCGATATCAAACACAAACTGTTGGACAGTTAATGAAATTAAGAATAGTAATGACAAGTTTACCATTACCTTCCCAAACACCCGATGCATCAATGACATTGTTAAATATATAGTCTGCCTTTGTGAATGCATATTTAGATGTTCCAAGAAAATCATAAAAACTATCATATGAAACAAGTTCATTCTCTGGAATAATAGCATCTCTAGACAAAATCCATGAACTTCCTCCACCCGAACCTCCATTTGCATGATGACTTGCAAAGCCACCAAACCAACCTGATCCTGCACCAGAATGTTCCCCACTCACATAATTTGATTGAACTCCTTGAGGATTCAATGATTTTGTTTCTTGGGCTGATTCCCCTGAACCAAAACTGAATCCAAATGTCAAATTTGCTAAATATGCTGAGTTGTAGACTCCATTTGCAAGCCATCCTTGTCCTTCTAAACCTCCTGAACCACCTGCACCATCATCAGCTCCAAGAAATGTACCATCTCCGTTATCAGAACCACCTCCAGCACCGCTCACAATGACCCGATGCCAAAGATCGTTTTTGACAAATTTGACAGCGGTTTGACCACCTCCTGAACTTGCTAAACTAATATAATTTGCAGCATATCCTCCACCTCCATAACCTCCTTCAGTCATGTTTTCTTTTGCATAACATTCAGTAACATTTTTAAAGCTCTTCAATTTATAAATTCCTCGACCTCCAATTGTGGCATATGCGATAGTTTCATTAGATAAATATATGGTGCCACTGATGTATGCACCTGCACCACCAAGACTAGGCTGTCGAAGACATTTAACATTACCTTTAACAGATTCAACAATTTCGTCTTCAATACATGAACCATTTGGATATCGATATGATGATACATGACCAGTTGAACTTCCACCAGATGCACCATACAACTCAAATTTGTATACACCTGGTGAAAATGTGATGACGTAGTCTGTACAATCATGATTGTTTTCGCAAGGATATTCGAAGATATACTTATTTCGAATTTCTGTGACTTTCAACCTAGCTTCATAATGACTTTCATTATACAATGAATACTTAATCATATATTACTCAATAAATCTATATAATACTAATATTTTTATATATATAAACATATGATATTAATCATCAATATTTCATAAGTAAAACAATATAAACTTCAATTTGTAAGTATGATGCAATTCAAGTATGTCTTGTAAACTAATTTATGATAAGTATTGTATAATGTTTCATATGATAAAAAACGAAAAAGTGGTTTTAAAAATAAGTTTATTTTTAATTTTTTTATAAAAAATAGTTTTAATCCAACTCAATAATCAAATTCTTCAGAGGATAAACAACTATCAATCGCTTGATAAAGTTATACTGACAATCAATAATGTTGAAATTTCACTTACAAAGTCATTTGCAGTTGCAATTTCACAAACGTTTTACTCACAATATCTTTTAGACAACGCTATTAACAAAATTGATATACAAACAGATATCATATCACCAAATACATATAATGTATTAAAAGACATTCTTCAATACAATAAAACAGAATTCGAATGTGACGAAACTGTTTTGAAAGATCTTTTCCATATTGGAATATCTCTTGAAAGCCAAGAACTGATCAATTTCTATAAAACAAATATTATTGACAACATGAAAATCGACAAAAACAATTGTTTTCAATTACTTGAATTTTATTTGGATTTTTGTTCAAATGATAAAATCAATGAATGTTATCAATTCATATCATCACATTTTTATGAAATTGATTCTAATCAACTTAAAACACTATCCGAAAAACTTGGTATTGACATTCTTCAACAAATATTTAGCAGTGACGAACTTGAAGTCGAAAGTGAAGATTCATTAGCAAATTTCATTATTTCTCTAACACAATACAACAACAATTTCTATCCATTGATTGAAAACATTCATTTTGAATTTTGCAGTGAGAACACCATCAAAACAATCAAAGATTTAACTAATCTAAACAATTATCAATCTATTGTCAACTCACTCTCAGATTCATTAATCCGCTCAAGAAATCCTAACTCAAAGGATAGAACGCAAATTGAGACTAATTATTTCGGAAGCGGAAATGTTGAAATGTCTGCTACATCTTCAGGTTGCCCTATTGATTTGATTAATAAATATCGAGAAGATGATTATTTCGTAACTCATGATATTCCTAATTCATGGGTTGAGTGGAAATTAAAGCAAAACTATTCAATTCAACCTACTGAATATATTGTTAGAACATGTCCTAAAGAATAATCTACAAACCAACTTCAGACATGGAAAGTTGAAGGTACTACTATTAATGGAGAAACAAATGTTATTCATGAAATAAATAATTCAAAACTTAACAGTGGCGAAATACGAAAATATTCACTTAATACAAAAGATAAATTTATATCATTCAAATTAATTCAAACAGGCAAAAACAGTGACAATCGCGATTATTTGTATCTTGATGTTTTTGATTTTTCAGGTAGAGTTTATCACAATTAATACAAAAATTAGTCAAATAAAAATATATGCTGATTTAATTAAATAAACTTTATTTATTATTTACCATCAATAAGAACACGTTCACACCATTCACAAACAACAGGGTTTTGCTCTTTCATGTTATCAAGTTGGTCCTGGAACTGAAGTTCTTTAGCGATTCGGTAACGCTCAACCAAGTTAGGGATATTCTTCAAGAAACTCTTCATACGCTTATTCATCTCTTCGTCTGAGTTAGATTCTTTGTACATCTTGACAACCTGAGAGCATAGGTTAGATGTGAGAGGTCTGAAGTACTGGAATGCTGTAAGAAACTCTTCTCCTTTATTCTGGACGCTCTGTGTGAAAATAGCTTCTGCCCAGTTGACTTCTGTGTCCATGTCGTATGCGACTGCTGTTGTGAGTGCGAATGGGAAGTCTTGAGAAACTGAATTAAAAGGAGATTATTGCAATTATTTTTATTCATAACATCAAGAGCTTTTCTTTTCAGAGTAGTTCTTTTAACCATTTCTTTAATCTTTTTGCTTGATAGTTTACGCTTTTGCCTAATTCTGGAATTCGTATTTAAGTATTTCCTAATTAGCGTCAATATTATGAATGGTGCATATAGCCATGCACTAATATCTATGTATTATCACTAAGTTTATGTGCTTTTCCTTGGAATAATTCTTTGCCACGTTTATCTTCAACCTGTAAGTTTAATCCATCTGGATAATTATCTTTAAATTCGGACGGATAGAATCCATCGTAAATATCTCTGAAAAACTGAGCGCTCATTGGAAGATCATAAGGTCTTTGCGGCGAATCGCCAACGGTAAAATCAGAATTGTATAATGTGATTACAACTGGTTTTTCAAATTCAATCCTCCTTATATTGTTGTCTTGCTTTAAGTGTGTCTTCGTATTCAAAGCGCTTCTATTAAGTTGGTCAATTTTTGCTTGAAATGCATTCATGTCATCTGGACCATGCTCATATGTTTTATCTTTGGGACCTGGCCCTCCGACCCAATGAAGATCATAATCCGCTAAAAATTTTGTTATTTCATCAAGTTCTTGTTGCAATTCAGCATTCTTTTCCTGCTCATCTAACAGTTCCTGTTCTAATTTTGCTATTTCATCTGATTGCTGTAAAGCAATTCTTTCTAATTTGGCATATTGAGCCGCGTTATCGTCGCGAGGGGTTTGATGTGCTGGTTTTAGTGCACTCAATGGCACTTTCGCCAAGATGTTTGCTCCTTGGCCTTTATAACTCATTGAATTTTAAAATCTCGTTAAATTTTTGCATTTTTGACACTTTACAAAGATTTTTTGTTGTTGCTGTTTCAATCGAGTTTTGATAGGATAATAAAGTCAAGTTTGTAGGAACAATAATTCTATCAGTTAATGAATATAGATCTACATTTTCTTGGTCTTGTAAAATAGGAGGTTTAGAACCACACAAAGATTTCTGAAGATTTGGAGTTTGAGAAGTATATTTTTTGAAAAAAATGAACCAAAATAATTAAGTAGAAAATTTCTTATTTCCGTCGAGACATTCAAATCGAAATTACATTCAATTCAATATTTCTTAAAAGTAAACCAATCGTTGAAATTTTCATTCATTCAAGCAATGTCTACTGACGATGATATCACAGAGGAAGATTTCGAAGAAGAAATAGAAGATCAATGTGCCGTATATTGCTTTGGAACCGAACCAAACAGGACTTACAGTGGAATTAAGATGGACAAATTAGATAAACTCTTCGATTCTGACCAAGACGATGGCCATATCATCTTGCGTCCCAATACAGTCCTTCATCACAGATATCAAATCAAAACAATGATAGGACGTGGAACATTCTGCTTAGTTTGGCTTGCTTATGATTATTTAAGATGTGAAAATGTGGCGATCAAAGTACTAAAGAGATTATATGATGATAATCAAGATGATTCTCAATTCGAAGATGAGCTCTTGATGAATCTTTATCTTTCAGGTCTTGACGATACATCTAAGCAGATCACTCATTTTTACGACGTTTTTTACTACGAAGATCACTGCTGCTTCGTATTAGAACTAGTTTCACAGAACATTTTAACATTCATTAACTATTTCGATGATATTTATGTTCCAATTCCTCTTAAACTTATCAAAAAAATTGTTGCCGATACTCTCAAAGGACTCAATTTCATGCACAAGAACGAAACAATCCATACAGACTTAAAACCAGAAAACGTTTTTGCAGAACGACCAATTTTCCCTTATGAGCCGTTTTCAGAAGATGATACACGAGAAGTATTCAATTGCCTTGAAGACGATGAATCAACAATCAATTTCAAGCTCGGAGATTTCGGAAATAGTTGTTTCGCAGACAATATACTTAACGATTTGATACAAACCAGGCAGTACAGATCCCCGGAAGTATTACTCGGCTTACCATATACAAGTTCTGCCGATATTTGGTCCTTAGCCTGTATGACCTTTGAATTAGCCACTCGCCATCATTTATTTGACCCAGTTTTATCAGATTCTGATAAAGAAGAAACCCCAAAGAACAGAGATCTCTTTGATGCCGTTCATCTTTCAATGATTGAATCAGTTCTCGGTCAGATACCAAGAGATTGGGCTCGTAACGGCAAACTCTATCCATCTCTTTATAATAGGCACGGTGAATTAATAGCAACATACCACAAGCAGTTACCTTGCTTATATAATTTGCTAATTAAGCATGGCTTGAATGAACAAGACGCTGCAGAACTTACTGAATTCTTAGAGCCAATGCTAGCTATTATTCCTAAGCAAAGGCCTACTGCGGAACAGTTGTTAGATTCTCCTTGGTTGTATATGGTTTAAACAAAAAATATATAATTATAGATTTATTATTAGTTAATATTTATTTTTATAATAACGCTAATGCTTGGCCAACTTAGATTTTGGAATTCGATATCCAAATCTTTTCTTTTCGGTTCTTACTTTGGAATCAGGGCCATGAGATGACATGATAATCGTTCTATTTGGTAATGTTAAAATCTTTTCTGTAATGGATTTGATTTCATGAGGCAATAATTTATCAACATATCTAGGATCTTCTGTTGGAATTGATTCACCTGTAATAACTACAGCTGATCCATAGCTGTAGAGTGCAATTCCACCACTTGTTGGTGTTCCAACTTCGATAACTTTAAAATCTTCATCGTCAACCATGATTTTATCGCCATCGTTTACATCTTTGATGTCTAATTTCTTGGTAACGCCAATGATGTCTAGATTTTTAACGAATTGTTCATGATCTTTCTTTGAAATGTAGTATTTTGCATTAGGAAACTTGTCTGCAAGAGCTTTAATAGCTTTCATGTGATCTCTTCTTCCTGTTGTACTAACGAAATTAACGTTTGAGCCTTTGAAACTAGTATCTAGAAAATGATTAATTGTTTCAGGCTCATCAGCAGGATCAACAATTAAACATTCTTTTTTATCACGAATAATATAGCATTTTGTCATAAATTCTCCAAGAGGAGCTGATATTATGTCCGCAAAACGAACAAATTGAGAAGAAAGCATTACTAATTATGACTATTTAAAGTAAGCAATGTATTATCTATTTGGTAATTAATAGACTTTCATTAATATTTGATGTTTTTGTTCATATTAAATTTATAAATTGATTCAATATAAAGATCTATTAATATTTGCAGAGTAAAAATTATAAAATTTGAAAAGATAGACATAATAATAATGGTTTAGAATACAAAAGAATAAAAAAAAAATAAAATTATTTTCTAGGAGAACTTCCTGATTGAGAAACACCTCTCGAAATTGCTAATACTCCTAAGCCATTTGCAATTTGGAGCTGTGCATCTTCTGCTTTCTTGGATGCAGAAATTTGGTCAGGCAACTCTGTTTTTGATATTCTTGGCTGTAAGAAATCAATTTGGCATGTAATAAATGGCATTGCAAGTAGCCTTAAGAAGAGATAGACATTAAAATCGTCTGTTGAAGCCACTGTGTTGAATCCTTGGAAGGTAAATCCCATGAAATATGATATCGAAGATATTTGCACGTAGTAGTCTGTTCCAAAAGCAGGAGTCTTAAATGACAAAATCGAATTTCCATTTGTAGGCCTATCTTCCGGGAAATGCAAGATTGGATGATAAGAAGGATCTGATGCAACGTATTCTAACTGCTCTGCTGGGGTAATATATTGGTCTCTTGATTTGATATAGAACATATCGATTACTGTTCCAGTTAAAAGCGATTCCCATCCGGGTATTTCTGCTTTTTTGATAATTGTTATCGGAAGTACAGCAAAGTAAATAAAGAAGTCTAATAACGATATATGATTTGAAACAATAAAACGAGCGTCTGGATTAATGGAGCCATTGATATTAATTTTGATTATACCTGATGCAAAGAGAAATGCACGAGCAATATTTCGGAGTATTTTCTGTGAAAAATTTTTATATGATTTTTGATTTTTGAAAAATCCTTCAAATAGAGGAATTATTCTAATAAGGACAAACCAAATTATAAATAATACAAATGAAAATAGTAATTTGATTGGACCAAGAAAGATAAAGAAGCAGAAAAATTGATAAATTCTATGAATAAGTAGAAATTTCGGTGGTTCAAATAACGATTGATAGAATTTATCATTTACATCGGCCCTCTTGACCTGTTTCGTGAGTCTTGGATCATAATATGGAATTCTAGTTCCAAACATTATTCACCAAAAATCTTGTCACTTTTCTGTAATAGGCTTTAAAATTAGATTGTAAACGGCAACTTTGAATCCTATTTTACTTATTTTAATAAGCTTCATGCGCTAATTGGACGTATTATATCTATAAGTTGCATACACTTTCGGTACCTCAATTGTTATTTGCGATTAAATGCTATTTTCACGGTTCTTCACGCTTATGATTTTTTTTGTCCTAATTTTTTCTGAGTGGATTGTTCAATAGGGTTTTACGTTTAGATTAAAATATTTAAAGTTACTTATACTTTTCATTCGTGAGTAGGTTAATAATGATGATTATCTAAAGATTCTCCATATTGAATTAGATTTGAGCGAAGAGACTAATAAAGAATTTTACCATGTAAATTACAAACAAACTTTGATTAAGTAGTGTAATGAAATAAAAATAAAAGTTTCAAATTATAAAATAACCAAAAAATTATAAATTTTTTTAATAACCAGAATGTAAGAAAGATCTAGAGCTTCCAGGTTCCGAATCTCTACCAGAAGAAGAAGATGTTTCAGTTACAATTGTTGTTTCCTTATCAATACCATCTACAGAGTTTAAGAACTGCACAACATCTACCTGGTGCTTTTTCATTGCAAGTCTGTAAGGAGTTCTTCCACTTTTATCTGTTGGATTCAAATCGATTTCAGGAGCCTTAACGAGAACTCTCACAATCTCAAGGAATCCGCATTTAGCAGCTTCATGTAGAGGAGTTCTCTGGAGTTTACCTGGAACATTAACATCTATATCATCAAGAGTTATCAAGAGCTTGACCATATTAACATCACCATTCCAAGCAGCATAATGAAGTGGTGTAGAACCATGTCTATCCATAGCATTGACATCGATTCCTGGTGCTTCAGAAAGTATCTGGACTGTCTCAACTTTGCCGCCAATAACAGCGTAATGCAAAGGAGTACAACCATCAACATTCTGTGCATTTACATTGATACCGTGAACAGCGCACAACAACTTAACAATTCCATTGTTGTGAGCGCGTGTTGCCATGTGCAAAGCAGTCATTCCGTTTTCATCACAAGCATCGATATTCAACTTGTTTTGGAGTAACAAAACAAGCAAATACGTGTTGTTGAATCTTCCAGCCATTCTCAACATCTCTTCACGCATCTTATCCTTGATGTTCGTGATGAAAGAGAGAATGAACTTGCACTGTCCGCAAGCTGCGCAAATTGCAGAAATTGGGTTGTTTCCTTCGAGGAATAATGCTCCTCTTCTAAGCAAATAAAGGAAACAACTCTTGCTGCCTTGCATTGCTGCGAACTGTATCAATGTTAGTTGCTCGTCGAAGCTTGGGCCTTGCATTTGCTCCCTGTTTTGTGGAGGAACAAGGTCGACTATGTAATTAGAAATTGATCTGTCTAGTTTCACTTTGTTTTCTTCAACAATCTTCTTGAAAGAAGCCAAATCATCGTAAACTAAAGCGTGCATCAATTGGAATGATATCTCTTCTTGGTTCATCTCTCTGTTCTTGCTCTGATAAAGGAATTCAGTCGTATAGAAATCGACTTGTCTCATATCATCAAATCCATTCCAGTTGTTTTCTTTCAGTTCACGAACTCTCTTCTTAAAAACTAACATGTGCTCGTCGTAAATGCCGAACATGCCTTTCTGGATTGTCAACGCCTTCATGAATAAATAACTGGATACATCTGAATTGGAATGTTCAATCATTGGTGCAAACCAATAATAAACAAAAAGTGACGATTGAACGTAAATTGGAGCGTTTGCTTTTACGAAATCCATGATGGCTCCTTCGATCTCTGCGTCCTGGTAGACACCTAGGGTCTTGCACTTGTACAAGAACTTCAAGAAAATGAACTGCTGATGGTGTGGAGGGTTGAATAAAGATACAAAGATTAATGAGAAGATTTGTTGCTTCAAATCTTCATATCCTGGCTCTTCTGATAACATTTTAAGTAAGTTGGCATATATTTCTTCGTTCCTTTGTCTGATTTGGACGGCCTTCATAATATCTTGGGCCAAAAGTAGGATTTTCTGGGGTTCTTCACTGAGCTTGAGTGCGAGGATGGATTGGAAGCTTGGATTGATGTTGTCGTTGTTCATTCCAAGTAAAACTATTTGTAATGAAAGACTTTGGTAAACGTAGAGGTGGCAATTGTCGTCGATCATGTTTAGGTTGAAATATGGCTCGAGAAGAGGTATTGCTTCGCTGAAACCTTTAGCGGCAGCTTGAATAAGATACTCAACTGCAATATCTTCTTGATCTTCTGTCTTTGCGTGGTCAAGAAGCATTTTACCGTATTCAAATTGAGCTTCAGCGTTTCCTCTGTTAGCAGCGGTCTTAAGAAATGTCTCTTCCGTTGCAGATCTCTTTCCAGATTTATTTTTCGCTTGTACTTCTTTGTAAAATGCAAAAGCGTTATCGGCAGTGCCATTATCGGCTGCTGTCCATGAGCTCTTGAATGTTTTGTGCTCGTTAAGCGGATCTTTGAGTTGTTCAAGTAATCTGCCCATTGCAGCAAAGAAATCACGTAATTTTCTGTATGGACAAATCATAAATGTTTCGCAGAGATCGTTGATTTGATCGAGCTTCATGTTGTCGAAGGAATAACGTTTAACAAATTTAATTGAATCCATACCGCCTTGTGCTGAAGCAGCATAGCATAACTTCATGAGCTGTGCTGGTGTGAGCTTGCCTGGATATGCTGCAATCATTCTTTCAATAACTTCAAATGGAAGAGTGGAGAAAAGCGGAGCATCGATGAAACGTGGTAAATTCATGGATATAATTGTTTCAATGCGCTTTGATTTATGTCCTTCGCGTAATAATTTTGCAAAAAGACGGATTAATTCGTTTGGTGGAACTTTTGATGCCAAAAGAGACTCAATTTTAGTAATAAGAGTTGGAGAATCCCAATCTTCTGCGATAACAAGTAAGTCTACAAGGATAATGCCTGATGGAGCGATGGGTTTCATTTGGCAGCATGCGATGTATGTAGCAAATGCGTTTTCTTCATATTCATCTTCAATAGAGAGTGTCGGCGGTAATGTTTTGCCTGTATCTGGATCTACTTGTGGGTTATTTGTAACAGCTTGAAAATATGCAGCGAATTTTCTCGAAAAATTGAAAAATAGAGTTGGATCAATATGGTACTCTACATCATTATGGTAGAGTGTAAATGAACCTGCATCGAATAGTGCGTCCTCGTCGTCTAAGAGGATAGACATTCAATTTCAGTTTTAAACTTTTTTCGTTATCATTTTTTTTCTCAACAGTGATAACGCTCTAAAAAAAATTATGGCTAGTTGAGTGAATAAATATATTATATTTAGTTAATACAGCATAATTATACTTATTAAATGGGGGCGAGCATCATAAGAAAAATTTTTCGAAAAATAGGGGGTGTTAGTATACTCAACCCCCTCATTAATTATCGTTTCTAGAGGAATAGGAACAGAGGCCTTTTTTCAGGTAACCTTTAAGAAGTTTCCGAAAGAGTTTATGCTCATATAACCTCATTTCCAGGTAAATAGGGGGCATTGTTCTACTAAAAGTTTAGTTGCATACTGGCCTCGTTTCCTAAGAAACTTAATCAAGAGGCTATCTCAATAAGCCTTGACTAACAGGAATAGGATTTACCATCACTCTTGTGGAATAAGTAATCAATAATACCGAAACATGCATTTAGGTTCTTTAGCTTACCTTCTATAATGCAGCATTATACTTTCTTCCGAGCATAAATATAAGTAACCACATTTGTATTACACACATTAATTCAAATAATGCTCATACGCTTTTCAAGCAAAACCATTACTCGTCGAATTTTTTATCCAATATTATTGTTGCATTGAGATTATACATTCTAAAGCATCTGAAAATTAATAGAAGATGACGAACTTATTAATTTTCTCGAATAATTTTATATTTACTCGAAAATTAATAAGTTCAATTGTTTATTAAATCAATATTTGTTATTATTATCAAAGACAAATGAACCCGTATTGCTACTTTATAATTTTACTTCCTTAATTTGAAATGGTTATTCTAATTTTTGAAGGAAATTAAATTTCATTAAATATTTTGAAGTCTGGAATTAATATAAGATACGTTTTGCACTATTTTGATGTGAATTTAACATTGTAATATGCCTTTAATAATAAAGTTAGTGTAAAGAGATAAAAATTTAAGTATTACCATAAACATTGCATATTGAAAGATGACTGTAATATATTTGATTTCTCATGCATAATATATTTCTCATGCATAATACGAGAATGTTTTATCAGAATTCTCATATAATCACATTGGAGAATAAATAAGAAGAAAATTGAAAATATCTGAGCCTAGAATCTATTAGTTTGGTTTTGATATATATATTTGTCCCAAGTGTTAAGATATTCATGCAGAAAAATAAAAACATTTTCAAACAAAATGTACAAAAGGAAAGATTCAATTGGAAATTTAAGAAGCTATCAGTATTTTCATATATGAAAAAGTAATGTGTGCACGAATTTAGTGAATGTTAACAATAGATAAGAATTGTTATGGTAAAAATATGCAACAATGTAGTTGTGATGCAAAAATTGAAAATCCTTCAAGGATGATAGTGTGCTCTTAATAAAAGGAAATTAAAAAGAAGTAAAAAATTAAAATTTAGGAAAAATATAAAAAAAGGGGTTTTCTCCGTAGAAAATATGATTTCTTATATACATAGAGGAATGAAACATGATTTCTGAACGAAAATCCTGATGGTTGCATAATTTTGTTCAAATTATAGAAAGAGAATGAAATTTTTTGTTAAGACAAGTAATTACATCTTGGAAACTTTTATATGCCTGTATTATCAATGAAAATTTTCGTTGAATCTGAATAATATTTTCAAAAAAATGTCGACTTTTGGGTTTTAAATGTAATTATGAGTAAATCATCTATTGAATGGAGGTATGAGATACGCGTAGTGTACTATGATATAAAAAGATTCGTTGAACAACCAAACAAGTAGTGATGAGCTTGTGCCTATCGGTTATTGCTTTAAGATTACGGCAGTTCAGTATTACATATTCCTTTATCCTATTCCTATTGGTCAAGGCTTATTGAGATAGCCTCTTGATTAAGTTTCTTAGGAAACGAGGCCAGTATGCAACTAAACTTTTAGTAGAACAATGCCCCCTATTTACCTGGAAATGAGGTTATATGAGCATAAACTCTTTCGGAAACTTCTTAAAGGTTACCTGAAAAAGGCCTCTGTTCCTATTCCTTTAGAAAAAATTCACACAGCAATTTTTGGATAAAAGAGTATCTAAGTATGGGTACTCATAAAACATAGCTTATATAGGTGAATTGATAAATATATTACATTCATAATAGTAATAATATTATTTTCAACAATTCTGACCGTGTAAACTGTTGTATAGAGAATATGTTTGAAATGGTACGATTGTGCAATATTTTATAATGGAAATGTTTACATCTTACTGCTAATATTGTATCTTTTGGGTTCAAATATGTTTAATTAACATTTAATTTAGTAACTATTTGTATAAATGCAAGGCATATGACTATTATAAATAGCAGGAAAGATGTTTTCACCGAAATACGTATAAAATTATAAACAAACACTTTACTATTCTAATATTCGCCTTCCTCGAAAACACACTCAAGAATATCGTCAGTTATTGAAACAAACTCTTTGATATTTTGGTTATCATGAGAATTAAAGATGAATAATTTCGAAAATGCATCAAATGAATCAAAAACTCTAGCAATATTTGTACTTAATGGTTCAACGATACTAAATTCTTCATTTACCTTATTCAACATATCAGCAATAGGAATTATTGCTAATTCATCAATAAATTCTGCATGATTATCATGAACTAGATTATAGCCGCATATCACATTCAAAATAGGACACTGATGAATTATAGGTTCTATAAAAGTTGACGTCGTTAGAAGAAAAGAAGCAAATACGTCTTTTGGTGAATTTATACAATTTGCAGGAATTAAATTAATACAAACAAAGTTAAAGTTAATTTCATGCAAATATGACATAATACGTGATATTTCATCATAATTAATTGAAATCGAAATTGATGTAGGAAAGTTTATAATAAAATATGGACAATCTGCTTCATTAAATGTTCTATCTACCCATTCTTGTGATTCAAATACTTCATTTATGCAATTTAAACAATATTCTAAATATCTGTTTTCATGAGTAGAGTAATCATATGTTTCAAAGATATCATTTCGTATATCATCTCGAAAATATTCGCTTTTTATGCTTGTTGTTGGATCTAAGTTTAATAATATGTAATCTCGTTGTATTTCCCCAAAATATTGAATAAAACCATCTATATAATCTGACTTTTCAGCGTCACTAGGGCCAAACAGCAATTGGGCGTACTTTTTAACTGGTTGTTCTGTAGTTTCATTTGAATCTGTCATAAAAAATTTTAAAAAAGTAATGTTTAAATTTTATCAAATGAGTTGATATTCCTTAATGTTCCCATTTAGGAAAACATATTTAAATCTTCATTTTTTATAATTGCTGAGAATCGAATGGAAGAACATCTTAATGATTATCTTGTAATCTATGATCTTCTTCCTACATTCACAGCTCTAGATGTCTTACGTGTTTTTGAACGTTATGGGAAAATTCTTCACTTTATGTTTATTGGAAAAAATATTCATGTAGGGAGAGCATTTCTTCTCTACGAAGATAGGACAGTAAATAATGCAGTTTTGTCTGATTCAGGATATTTTCACGTAAATAAACCAGAATTTGAAAAAATGATTTCTTCAATTAAAATAAAAACATCAACAGTACTCGTAACTCCTATCTCTGACAAAGAAATGTTCCTTTTGCGCAGAAAGTTAAGATCAACAAGAAACAAACACTTATTAAATATCGGAAATATCACTGATGATAGCATTTATCCGCGTGAAACACAGCGCAGAATAGACATAATTAATGAAAGGAATAGATTATTCTATGGAGATGCAAAATTAATTGTTTCTTCGAAAACTTTACATTTTTATAATTCTCCTCAAACGCTGCAAATGGGTGTTTTGCGAAGAACAATTGTTGAAGCAATTAGAAATTATGTTCTTGAGAACCCAAATGATGATATTTCTAAGCAAATTAACACAGATTGTATCAGAATAACAAAATTAGTTAAAAATGAAGATGGATCTTTATCAATAGCATTTACTCATAATGCATATGCAATGGCTGCTTTAAAGATGTTGAATGGAAATTACAATTTTGCTTCAAATTTCACTCCTATTATTCATTTTGAATTAAAAGAAGGAAAAGAAAGTACTCAAACACAAATCCCAGCGAACCCTAACATAGAAGACTTACACGGAGATGATTTGCCCGATATTCCATTATTTGGATAAATAAATGCCAAAAAATTGTAATTTCACAGGATGTAATCTTACACCGTTCAAAAGTATAATAAATCAGAACGTCTTAATTGATAATCAATGATTTAACATCAAAATTACCTCAAATTATATAAAATAACATTAACTATATAGTTATTAATGAAGCTGTCATCAGATAACTCTGATTGGTATTAATTTATTCAATGTCATTAGCATCTTATCGAAGAATAAACATAAATTGTATGTATCTCTGAATTAAATTATTTCTTTCGTGTCAATAATAGCACAATAGCTAGACATACATGTTAACGTTAGTTATCCTTCAGTATTTTTCTTAGTTAAACATACAATTTTCCAAAAATAAGAAACTTGCAAAAATTGTCACTTTTTTCAATTTTTTTCATGAATTTCTTATTTTTCTTTATTAGTAATGTAAATGGAAAGAAGCTTTCAGTGAATGATACAATCCCTGTAGTTGGTAGTAAAACATTTCCATTACTAAATCCACTAGAATCATACAATTTCGATTATATTCCATTTTGTTTAGCCCCAGAGACACACTCATCGAACAAAATTAAAGCAATTATGGAATTAAATAGAAAACATACACCAATATCTATTAAATATTTAAATACAGTGAAAAATGAGCCACTTTGCAGTATAACAGTTACAAAAGAAATATATGACAGATTTACAGAACTCATTAATCGCCAATTCACATACAAATTATACGTTGGCAAACTTCCTGTTTGGGCTCTTATTGGACATAAAAACTCTCGCAACTCAACTATGGTCTATACAAATTTCGTTTTTCAATTATCATACAGAGACAAGCATGCAGTTGAAATTTCTTTGTCAACAACTACATCTGTTGAAATTCAAGTCGGATCAACGCTTCAATTTTCATACAGCGTTGACTGGTACTCCACCAATAAGAAATATCGTCAAAGATTTGAAAAATACTGCGATTACGACTTCTTTTTATCTCCAGTCAGATATTACGGTCTTGGAAACACTTTTCTGCTTGCTACACTATCAGCAATATCTGTTTGTTACGTACTTACTATGTTTGTCAGCAATGACTTTAGGAGAATCGAAAGAGAAGCCGATATTTTGGATTATGAAACAGAATTTACCGGAGAAAAAGGTTGGAAAGTCGTTCACAACGATGTATTCAGACCTCCTTCAATGAGATTTGTTTTATCAAGCCTTGTTGGCGCAGGAGCCCAAGTTGGAACAATGGTTGTTTGTTTTGTCGCCGCAAATTTGTTTTTGCGATTGCATTACAAGAGAAACTCAACGATGAATGTTGCTTTTGCTGTTTACGCCATCTCTGCTTTATCTTGTGGCTACTTTTCAGGTGCGATGTACAAAAAATGGCAAGGAAAGCGTTGGATCATGCAATTGATATCAGCATCTGCTGTTATACCTTGTTTCTACTTGATATATAAGCTGACTGTCTTTATTTTCGCTATTTCAAGCGGAATTGGACAATCAATTCATACAACTCCACTTTTTGTTGGATTTATTTTATGGATATTGTTCGCTATTCCTTTAACTATTTTTGGTGGTATATTTGGCCGCCATTATTTCGTTTTAGGAGAATTTAATGCAAGATTAGGAATAATTAAACGGCAGATCCCTCCAACACCCTTCTATTTGCAGACTCCATGCCTTGCTTTGGCAATAGGATCAATTGGATGGGCTTCTGTCTGTTACGAAGTTTATTATATTATGTTATCTATTTGGAAATACAAATTATACTTTTCATGGTTCTTTATTTCGTTAACTGTTCCTTTAACCGGGATTTCTGTTGCTTGTTCTACAGTTATTGCGATTTATTTCAGATTATCAGCTGAAAATTACGAATGGCAATGGCCTTCTTTCATGGCTCCAGCAGCTACTGGCTTCTTTGTATTCTTAGAATGTTTGTACTGTGCTGCAACAAAAATCACAAAAGAAGGCTTTGTTCAATCAATTTTCCTTGTTTCTTCATCCATTGTGATGTCCACAATTGTTGCAACTGTATGTGGATTTGTCGGATTTGCTTCTTCAGCTCTTTTTGTACGACATATTTTCAGAGCTCTCAAACTTGATTGATTTATGTTTTTGTTTTATAAAAAATAAATATTAGATTGTTGTATTATGAAGTTATAGACTCCTTTTTTAATAAAATGTAAATAAAATGGACATTTTATTATATTTCAACGCAATGCACATGGTCTTTGTTTTTAATACCGACACATTAAATATACAACCATCAGTAGGCTAAATTGCATCAATCAGTCTCAACATTTCATAAAATATCATAAATCGTTATTTATATCATCAATATTGAATCATATTCAGCAATTTTTATTTTAGTGTGAATGGTTTGTTCATTTTAGTAGGAAAAGGTTTGAATAAAATCACCAATATTGTAGATTTAGTATTATGCATATGAAATAATACCTTATTCTTGTAGTATTGTTGCATGCTAAGTAGTGTCAATGATAGAAATTGAGAGCCTATTAATCGTCGAGGAAGTACGATTATTTTTTGGGCGAAAAAGTATCTTAAAATATGATTATTAATATGTTTTTAAAATAAAAAATTTGAAAGTTAATTTGAGATTCTCATATAATTTTTTGAATGAAAAAAATAAATATAGTCTATATGAGTTTTTGAATAATCACACTTGAGATATATCTAAAAAATAATTAAAAATAGAGTTTGAGAAGACATTTCAAGGTGTAATGAAAAGTGTGATATAGAAAATAATTATAGATATTTTAATTTTATATATTGTGCTAAGCATTATATTAAATTTTTAGGAAAAACACTTTTCATAAGTATTCAATATTTGAAAATACGCTCCAAAAAAGAATAGATTCTTTTATATTCGCTTATATAAAAGGAGACTCTCTATCAGATGCGAATGCCTGAATTCAGCACCTCTGATAGAGAGTTTCCTCTTATATAAGCAAATCTTTTTCATTCGTTTTTGTTTATATAAAAACATCAAAATCTACCAATATGAGAAATTAAACCCTGCGAGGCACCAGTCTAGAACTGGCACTTCGCAGGGTTAATTTCTCTTGACAAAATACAATAATCAAATGCTCCAAAGTTTTCAAATTTTTATTAGGAATAGGAGCCTACAAAGCACTGATTATATATCAGTGCCTGGTAGGCTCCTATTCCTTCTCTGAAGCTGGGAAATTTTGTCTGAATAGTTTAACATTTGGACAAAATTTCCCAGCTTCAGAGAAGGAATTGGAGGGTGAGAGGCATATAGGCATACTATATACCTCTCACCCTTCAATTCCCTCGGGAAAGTTCGAAAACTCGGTCGCAATCAGATGCAATTGCGACCGAGTTTTCGAACTTTCTATTAGGAATAGGAGCCTACAAAGCACTGATTATATATCAGTGCCTGGTAGGCTCCTATTCCTTCTCTAAATGGGAGAAACTTTGTTTGAATAAGATAACATGCGAACAAAGTTTCTCCCATTTAGAGTGGGATTTGGAGGGTGGGAGGTACATAGATAGACTATGTATCTCTCACCCTCCAATTCCCTCGGGAAAGTTCGAAAACTTTGGTGCAATCAGCAACGATTGCACCAAAGTTTTTGCGTTTAATTGAAGGAATTGCTCTTTATGATATATACAGTTACAATGCATATATCATAAGGAGCAATTCCTTCCAGATATCTGGCAAACTTGCTCGCAATGGTTCACAATTGCGAACAAGTTTTGTCATTTGTCAAGAGAAATTAAACCCTGCGAAGTGCCAGTTCTAGACTGGTGCCTCGCAGGGTTTAATTTCTCATATTGGTAGATTTTTATGTTTTTATATTAACAAAACTCATGAAAAAGATGCTTATATAAGAGGAAACTCTCTATCAGAGGTGCTGAATTCATGCATTCGCATCTGATAGAGAGTTTCCTTTTATATAAGCAAATATAAGAGAATCTATTTTTTTTGGACCGTATTCTCAAATATTGAATACTTATGAAAAGTGTTTTTTTCTAAAAATCTCAGAATATATTTACAATAGTAAAATAAATAAGATATTTAAATTTATTTTTAAATGCTTTTTTTATATGAGATTCTCAAAAGTTATATCAAAAGTCTGTTTTTTCTAAAATCTAATATCATAATCTATTTCTCATTTTAAGTACATCTTAATTCATTTTATTTTCTATATTTTTTCAATATTTTTGAGGGAATTGTGTTGCTTCCCCGACAATAAAATTGAGAGGTTTACACATTGACACTACTTAGCATGCAACAGTATATGATTTAGAAAATCAAATATTTGTGCATTTTTGTCTATAATTGCATTCAAATTTAGAATCCTAATTAATTGACATATTTAATGAGAAATAATTATCCCAATGAGATTTCTCTTATTTAAATTATTATATAAGCAATAGCTGTATAGTTTATTATTCTAATTATTTTATTTTTATTGAGTCTTTTTAGCTTTCTCAAGTTCCTTCTCTTCCTTTTCTTTCTTGAGATCGTAATTTCTTGCATAGATAATGAAGGCAAAAACAATTATGTGAGTTATAACGCATGAAACACCAATAGCGTAATTTCCAGCATCTGGTCTACTAACGTTAGTCCAAATTTTAGGAATTAAATATCTGAAGAGGTAAAATGATCCAAATGATACAAAAACGATCAAGCCTGAGATGAAAAGAAATGTATTAAGGACTTCTTTGTTCTGTTTTTCGAACATAAGTCTGAAAAGACTTGGACCTGATCGATCAATCTTTGGAAAATAATCCTTCTTTTCTCCTTCCTGAGACATGTGAGATTTTGATCGTCGCGTCACTTTTGAAATTTTCGCGAAAAGTGCCAATTCGAAAAATCTAAAACCATATTAATGTCTCTTAATTTAATAGATCCATCGAGCGGTCGATGATTTTATTCATTTTTATGGATGTTGCGAAAGATGTTTTTATTCGAATCTTTTCGACTGTAAACCATAGAATATTAAACGATCCCATTAGCCTCTATACTCAAAAATTTTCCCAAATGCTATATCCAAAAGATACTAAGCTCAAAAATAGATTTGAATTTGTTGCTGGTGCAACAGCTACACTTTATATGCAAAAAAAGCTTATGAGCATATATATTGTTTACGATTCTGTTATATTTGGCATCAAATTTGATCAGTATATTACGTTATCTGGATTCAATACAAAATTGTTTGCAAAAGCATGCGAAGAGTTACCTATTTCGTCGGGAGATTGCAGATTTTTCTTTGAAACTAGTGTAGAATTTCCGATTTATGGCTTACAATCGGCAGATATCGATGAGATTCCATCAAAAATTGAAATTTTTCCATTTTTAGACTTTGAACACATTTGTTTCTTCACTGCTCGAATACCAGGAAAGTATACCAAAAGTCAAAACTCCAGTAATCAGCCATTTTCAGCCCAAGGAAGTTATAATTCTTTTAGTCATCAATCAATACCACAAAAAGAGTCCCAACATGCGACAGAAGTAGCCACAAAAAGTGCACAGAACGATTATGATGACGAGGAAGAAGAATTCATTCAGCCAGGACAAAGACCAAGAAGTATAAATGAACTTGAAGAAGAAGATGTTGTTGACGTTTTCGAATGCCCCAGAACCTTGACGTATTTCCACGAAAATGAAGAAGAAGAGCAATACGTTCCATATGTTTATAAAGAACAAACTCAGCCAACTCCAGAAGGAGTTTTTACAAGATATCTTTCATCATCTTCGGATTCTTCTGTTCCATCGTCTTTAATTGACTATCAAAGCAAAAATTCTAAGTAACTTGCATCAAAATATAGAAAAAAAACTTTATATTTGTTGAATTGAACCAATGAAAATGAAATTAATGCGAACATACTTAAATGAAAAGGTTGTAATGTAAGTATATAATATTTTGTAGAGTAACACTTTGAAATTGTTCTCAATAAGTTGAATTTTTTTTATTAAAATATACTATTATCTTAATAAAAATATGATGTATCAATATAAAATTCATACAGAATCTATTTTGTATTACTCACGATGCTATTAGAAGTCCAAATAAAAATATAAAATCTCAAAATCAGGATAATTGCAACCTAATTCCATATAATATGTTTCTTATAGATTTTACTTGTTAAATATGCAAGCTTATTTAAAATCTATAAGAAAGAGCCATCAATGCGGTTTTGTAAACTACTGATTGGTCGACCTTTTGATTCATGCCAAAGCAGGTCACTACACCAAAGGAATTCCTTGCTCTTGCCGCTCGCTCTGATGCTAAGTGGGTTAAGGTAAAGAAGGCCAGTGATGATAACACAAAGTTCAAACTCCGCACAACAAAGTATCTTTACACACTTTCCGTTAAGCCAAAGTTCGTCGAGCTTGTTCAGAACTCCATCCCAGAGTCCCTTGAAGTTATCGTCCTTGACAAGAAGGCTGAGTAAAACTTTTTATAATGCTTGGTATATGATTTAACAAAACAAACATATTTTATGTTTCCAATTATCTATAAAAATACTACGATAATCATACCAAATATAATATTACCACTATTTTCTTTTTTTATCCAATCTTTTTTGATATAATTTTTTTATAGAACAATTTTGATGACTTTTTTTGTGAAAATATGAATACAGTAATGGTTTAAATAACATTTATGATTAAATCATCCGAATTTATACCTTACTTTCATCAACTTGGTAATATTGTTGATTTGATGGACAATAATAGCAACCAAGTGCTTCAAGGTATATAAGCTCCATTTCTTCTTCGCTGTCATCAATATCTGGTGTGTTTGGAGTCTGGAATAACTGTTTTGAAGGTGAAGAACCAAAAGCATCCGAACTTTCTGTTTCTTCTTCCTCTTCAGAGTCATCCTCGATTTTCTTTGTGAAAGCTGCCGGCTTTGTATCTTCTACAGTATGTTGTGCTCTATTGTATTGAGGAGTTGCTGGGATTTTACGCCTAATGGGTATTCTAGATGTGCGCTCTTTCTGGCTTGTTTGCTCACGGCGCTCACCAACTAAGATTGTTACAGATGATAATCCATTGTATTTTACTGCATCTGGTAAATCATTGCCATTATTTTCAGGAAGTAACTGGAATGGAATCGAAAATACATTTCTAATATGACAAGTAGGTATAATTTCAAAGCTGACTAAAGATTTAAATACGTTATTATCAAAATACTTTGACATGATGTATTCTAGATCGAAACAGACATTTGTCCATGTATTATCTGGTACATCAATTATATCTGACGTTATAGATTGTGATGTTCTGACGCTTTTAGTTTGACCTGCAAATTGGACCTTTAATGTATCATCATTATCATTTTTCATATTAAGAACTATGCAGACATTTTCTCCAATCCTCTTATATATTTGAAAAACAATGAATTTGTTACTAATTTTAAGTGAATCGGTTAGAGAATTTGGGTATTTAAATCTTGTGACCTTAGTGCTAATTGTATAAGATGCTGTTCCGGCAAAAGTTTCATATTTCATATCTTTGAGCAAATTTGGACCAAGGATCTTTTCGATTTTCGACATAATTTTTTTTTATTCATGTCACTTTATGTTCAATATTGAAGGAAAAATTAAAGCATTGGAACACGCTTACAAGTGTTAAACAGTCATGACGACAAAGAAATGTTCAATCAAAATCAAAATTTTATAGAGATTCTGAGACATGAAAATCCTATGAATGAGAGCATTATAATATATCTTAGTGGGTATTATATTAATTGAATTCTCTATGGCCTGATGCCCTGAGAATAGTCAAAATATCAAATGAACCCAAAATCAAATTATATTAAAAAGCATTATAATAGGAAAGGATCTTTTTACAATGGTTTAAGATAGTAGAAAATAAAATGTTGTTGAAATTTAATATTTCCAATATGGAAGATATATTCTTATTATTGAATTATCATTGTTGCATTTTTTCTTGATTATATTTTCTATTTCAACAACGTTTTCATCATCAATTAAGTCATCGAGGTTATCAATTTTCAATTCTTCTTTGATAGCCTTTGCATTCTTTTCAATTTGATCCATTTTCATATCAATTTCCTTCATTTCCTCATCCTTTTTCCATAAATCATCAAATTTGTTTTGGAGATTGACCAAATCTTTCTGATTTTCTGTTATCTTCAAATACTTATCTTTTCCCGGAAAGCATGATATGTATTGATTGAAAACATTTAATTGGAAGTTATTCTGTCTGAAAACATCTTTGAAAACAAAGGATAATGAATTTCCACCAACACAAATAATAATATCTTTTGGACTACTTTCGTTTTTGGACTGTTCCTTTTGAACAGATGGATCTTGTTTGCCCTGATTTTGAGGGCTGTTATCTATAGCTGGAGGAGAATCTACTTTTGGACTACTTTCGTTTTTGGACTGTTCCTTTTGAACAGATGGATCTTGTTTGCCCTGATTTTGAGGGCTGTTATCTATAGCTGGAGGAGAATCTACTTTTGGACTACTTTCGTTTTTGGACTGTTCCTTTTGAACAGATGGATCTTGTTTGCCCTGATTTTGAGGGCTGTTATCTATAGCTAGAGGAGAATCTACTTTTGGACTACTTTCGTTTTTGGACTGTTCCTTTTGAACAGATGGATCTTGTTTGCCCTGATTTTGAGGGCTGTTATCTATAGCTGGAGGAGAATCTACTTTTGGACTACTTTCGTTTTTGGACTGTTCCTTTTGAACAGATGGATCTTGTTTGCCCTGATTTTGAGGGCTGTTATCTATAGCTGGAGGAGAATCTACTTTTGGACTACTTTCGTTTTTGGACTGTTCCTTTTGAACAGATGGATCTTGTTTGCCCTGATTTTGAGGGCTGTTATCTATAGCTAGAGGAGAATCTACTTTTGGACTACTTTCGTTTTTGGACTGTTCCTTTTGAACAGATGGATCTTGTTTGCCCTGATTTTGAGGGCTGTTATCTATAGCTAGAGGAGAATCTACTTTTGGACTACTTTCGTTTTTGGACTGTTCCTTTTGAACAGATGGATCTTGTTTGCCCTGATTTTGAGGGCTGTTATCTATAGCTAGAGGAGAATCTACTTTTGGACTACTTTCGTTTTGGACTGTTCCTTTTGAACAGATGGATCTTGTTTGCCCTGATTTTGAGGGCTGTTATCTATAGCTAGAGGAGAATCTACTTTTGGACTACTTTCGTTTTTGGACTGTTCCTTTTGAACAGATGGATCTTGTTTGCCCTGATTTTGAGGGCTGTTATCTATAGCTGGAGGAGAATCTATATGTGGATGGTTTTGTTTGAGTTGATTTAATAAACATTTTAAATCTTCTTCTGGTGAAGTAGTTGAACTTGTATTCTTTATTCCACTTCCTTCCGATTGATCTGAGTTTCGCTTTGAAGTCGCCTTTTGTGTTTGAACTTGGACAGATTTTATTGGAGGTAAATTCGGGAATGTTTTTGGAGTTTGAAGTAATTTGGTTGGAGGTTGATTTTTAGAATTAATAATTTTTTTTAGCTCATCGTTATTGGTATAATTGTCTTCTTGACACTGAACTGTATTAATACCATTAAATTTTTTAACAAAATTATCAAAAACATTTTTGCATCCATCATAAATTTCTGGATCATTTTTAATTTTCATACAAAAATCGCATGTTGTAATCTGTTCACAATTAAAAAGTGATGTAATACCGCTCATTGAGTTTTCTTTGAATTTCTGCGATGTATTGATTAAACATTGGTAGTATCTCTTCCTTTCTTCTTTTTCTTTGTCATTTGGCTTCTGATTTTTCATCAAAGTATAGATTTTTTTGATTTCTTCATTTTCTTTTATATTTATATGATCAATAACATAATTATAAACGTAAAGAGTTAAGTTGATTCCACCAAGAAAATCATAATCAAACTTCATCAAACTAAGATTGTTGTCTTTATATTCGAATTTGTAAGCTTGTGTGATAAAATCTCCTGAATCGTAAACGATTACAGTGGAATTTTGTACAAGTGGAATATATTCTTGAATGTATGCCGAAATCATATCTGATGATTTAATAAAATGCGTTTTCTTATCGAGATTTGCAATTTGAAGTGAATCACGTATTATCTCAAAAATGGATTTGTCCTTATCCCACCATTCTTGGTATACTATTATGTATTCGTATTTGCCCTCAGGGTCTAATAGCTGAAGGAGTGACTTTAAGAAAATGGCAAAATTTATTTCTGGTTCGAGAGTGTCTGATTTATCTTCAATTCTTTCAAAAAAATTTCTGTGCATGTCTTCTTCATGTATGCAGAGATGGGAAACTCCAAGTGTTGAATTTAATATTTTATTATTTACGATTGAAAAAAGAGTCGGAAATTTATTATCAGTCATGCTGGGTATATCAAACGAAACCTTTCCGTTCTCGAATTTCCCAACTTTGGTGATGCTATTACCAATATCAATTAAAAACATTTTTATAAAAAATGCCAACAATTTATTTTGTAAAAAAAATCTAGGTTAATAATTGAAATTTCGGGTGTTGTTATCTTCAGATCTTAACCCATTAGTCCATAAATTGCTATCTATTTCCAAAATCTTTGAATCTTCTTTCATGGCTTCAAGTAACATTCCTTCTCAAATTTGACATGATCGTAGATTATATATCTAGTTGCCAAAGTGCTTCTATCACATCATCTAAAAAGTTAAAAAGAAAATTATAAGCTTCTTCAATTTTGTAATTTTCTATAAAATGTTTTCGCCAAAATCAAAATAAAATAGAAAAATTAAAAATTGCGATTATTAAAACATAAACAATAATCTATATATTTATTCTATGTTCCAGACTGTTCTTTAAGGATATTGTAACATCTACAAGACAATTGGAAATCTCCTACTTGTGATGCTCTTATTGCCAGCAAAGGAATTAGATGTTTGTAGTCAGGATATCCTTCAATTACAGCCAAAGCAGCAGACAAACAAACAAATTCGATTAATCCTTTAATTAATATATCTTTATGATCCAATCCAATTGTCTTCATGAGTAATGATGGTATCTTCTGATACAAAGTAATAATTCCGTAATAATCATATATTTTTATTATGGAATTAGCAATTTTATTGATGTCAACATCATAATTAGCAAGTGCATGTTGGATAACAAAAGCAAGACTCGATTTCTGTGGCAACATCGAGATTAATTCTGCATATAAGATTGTTTAATCGAGTTCCAGGAGAATTACACAAGCATCTACAACAGAGTTCGGATTATTAATGATATCAGGACAAGATTGGATGTGATTCCAGTGCATTTTTGAACAAATTTCTTTTTGTAATTTTGTCAAAAGGAAAAGTTGCTGAAAAGAGTCTGAATTCACGATTTCTTCCTTTTCCATATGTTGTGCTTCGATTAAACAGTTGTAAGCGTTTCCTATAAAAATAAATTGCAATAATGTTTTTTTCGTTGACTTAAATTCATCCAAAGCTTCATGAGCAGCAGCAATTCGATCTCCTCTGCTAAGATACAACTCAAATCTTACTAGATGCATCTCTCTTTTCGATGCTTCTTCTAATAATCCTTCCCATGTCTCTTTAGTCATTTTTTCGTTAGGATCGACCTTGTGGAATTCCCTGAGGAATGGCTTGATCGAGTCATTGAACATTGTTGCGTTTATCGCGTAGTTCATCATCGAATTTACTGATCCGCCTTCGGAAACTAAGGATTGGGCAATTGCATCGTTGTACAAACCAAATGATGTTAAAATATATATCGATTTAGGCATGGCAACAAAGGTTTTGAGGAACTTTTCGGCCCAATCTGCTAAATCTGTCCTCATATTGCGTCGACTTGGGATGTATTGCTTGTTTGCACGCTGATATATGTAATTTATCTTGGGATAAATGGCGAGCTGGGCCATTTCTCCTTCAAATTTCACTTTATCCCAATCAGATAACAAAATTAACTCCAAAATCTCATGGTTGATGAACGAATGCTTAATAAATAGGTTAAGCAATGGAGAATTCCTCGCCATGAGATCTTTTGTTGTCAATTTATCGTTTGTAAATAAAGATGAATCATATTCAAGCAAATCAAAGCTTGGATCAACTGATTTCCTCTTTTCCAGATACTTAAAAGCATCTTTGAAGAAACCAAATGTCAACATCAACATACTTTTTCCAATATAATATTGATTTCCATGGAAATTGAAAATTTTTTCCATTTGAGAGTACATTTCATTCAAATCAAGTCTGAAAAGTACTTTTTCAAGAGAAAAACTTCCGATTTCGAAATTATATTTCATATTCATAAAACTCATTGGATAAAAGTGCAAAATCTTATAAAACATCTCAAATACAAAACAATTGATATCATAGTTTTGTAAAATTCTCGATATTCGCTCAGAAATCGAAATTTGACGAAATTCTTCTTCAAAAGTTTCGATTTTGACCGAATGTACATATTCTTCTATCTTTCTTGAGCATATTTGTTTGATTTGATCTTTGTTGTCTGCAATTTTAATGACAGATTTTGCAATTTTAATCAAATCAATAATTTCATCAGTTTTTTGGTTTTCCATGATACTTACTAGGTTCTCCTGGCTCAAGAATGCTTTATCGCATTGAGATAATGTGAACAAATAACTTTTTGACGAAGATAATTTTTCAATAATTGATTCTTCGTTTAAAACAGAGATTTCGTCTTTCAAATGAACTGGAAGCTTTGAAAATGCTTTTAGCTTCATTTTCTCTTTCTTGGAGATCGTGTTTTCCAACTCTGGCACTTTTCCAATGAAATATTTTATGAAATCTGGGAAATTTCTCAAAAATATCAAAGCACAAGAGTTCAAATTACTTACAGCTAGTTCTATATTCTCTTTTGTCTTATGCTGATCAACGTAAGACACCAATATTGGCATTACTCCGTGTTTTGCCAAAGATATAATAATATCTTTTTCATTTGTACTGGAAGTATAATGTTTAATACTGTTATTAAGCATTATATTGTTTAATCTCTTGTTTTCCAGTTCGTTATTGAAGATTCCTGTGATTTCTATGCAATGATAAATTCTTTCATCAGATAATTTATCAATTCTCTCCATGACGCAGTTGAAGATCTTCCGGGGATCGAGTCTGTACAAATAGTCATCTAATACGTCATCAGGCAGTTCAGGATCTTCGAGTTTGGAGATAAAACTTAATAATGAAAAATTGTCACTTTTTGTTTTGAATTTTTTGAATTTTTCAGGAATCATCGGGAAAGAGTTCGGATCGAACATTGTCATTGCAATACACGTGCAGACAAGAGGATGCTCGTGAAATGACATGGTCACAAACTCTTTTGTCAAGTCAAAATCATCAATATGCTCCATAACCCACTCAAACAAGTCAATTTTAACGGCAGCGGCAAGGTTTAATGCATCGTTTGTGTTTCCTCCATTAATAGCATTAGTAAAAGCAGTTCTGAAGGAAAATGGAATCGAAAATGAAAATCCTTGGTCGAAAATACATCTTGAGAACAGAGACATGTAGTTTATGAACGATGACAAGGTCGGTGATGATGAAATTATGTCTCTGAAGGCTTCTCCTCTACGATCAAATAAAAATTGAACTGAATCTTGGTCGAACTGGTTAACTAAGCGCTTTATATTGTAGTTTATGGGTTCCATTGGCTGTAATGTTCTTCCGTATTTGAGAGAGGAGATTCTTTTGACGATTAATGAGCTGATTAAAGGAAAATTATCTTTTACAGACTTTAATTCTTGAGCTCCATTGATTGAACTGAATCCATATTCGATCTTAACGCTTGGAGTCATCTCTACTTCATTCGGCTGTTTCTTATTCATAATTAAATTGTAGATATCAAAAGCTTTCTGGTAAAGATCTTTGTAGAGTGGGCTCTTCTGTATTATTGTCTGTGCCTGATTCCAGTTCCTACTGGAGATGGCCCTGTAAAGTGCTTGTTTCCCTGCAAGAAAGTAATTTTCTATTTCAAGGCCACGTTGGCCCGAAATTGAGGGCAAAAGTGAAATAAGACCCTGTTTTACATACGGTGATTGAATGTATTCTTCAATTGTTCTCAGCAATGTTTGAGCTAATTGAGCTGCACAGACGAATTTCCCGTCTTTCTGGAGGAAGAGGATTGAAAAGAGTTCGTTGTAGACTGTGGATCTCTTCTCTGGTGATATCATACTGATGAAATATTTAATATTATTCATATGCTGGGAAATGTTGATGTTTTGGTTATAGATCTTGAATAATTTGAGTATATTACTGATGGCAAGATATGTTAATACAAAATCAAAGTCAGTTTTCAAGTCATTATCGTTGAACATAATAAATTTCTTATTTAAGTAATTGAGGATCTCTGGATTGTTCAGTTCTGACCTTAAAAGGAATGGGAAAGAGTATTTTTGGAAATTTTCTACATTAATTTCTTTCATAATTATATCTGAACACATTTGAATGAAAGTGATATCATTTTTTGCTCTCATATACAAGCCTGATCCCCAAATATCATTCACATCGTTCTGAAAATAGATTTTGTACTTGGATGGATTTTCCATCATTTTATTATAGAAACTGACAGTGATTAAATGTGAAAATGATGGTATTATCTGTGATGAAACTTGATACTGTGAGAAATTGTCGGAAATGAAACCTTCCGCCGCTGAATTATAAATTAAATCAATAAAATGCGCATTTAAGTACAATGATGTGTTTGTAAGTGATGCTGTAATGCCCTTACTGAGTCCGGGTGATGGTGTTGAGAACTGATATGACTGAATAAAAGTATTTTGTAAATAATGTGTTACTTCTTCATTTTTGAATAAAATAAGCGTAGACATTGGTGATATCATGTTGAATCTGATGTCTTTAAGATCATCTGCCTTGAGATTTGGATATAATAACAGTGAATTTTCTCCAATTATATTGAAAGCTTCTGTTATTCCTATTTGGTTGAGTACCTTTTCGAACAAATTGTATATTATTGCGAAATAGTTTGGAAATTTCTGATTAAATTCAAGTAAAGCTGATAAAAATTTTGGAAATTCTGTTTTTGGTGCTGGAGTATCACTGAAATTAGCATTTATGACTGGTTTCAAGTCATTGAATTGTGGTATTTTCAATGAAATCAAATCTGAAATGAAAAGATTTTGTGAAAAAGAAGGAGAAAATGATGAATACTTGGATACAAAGCATCGTAACGACCAAGAGGTACGAACTATACAATATAAATCAGGCATTTTGTCTTCTAGTAACTTAAAAAAATCGTTATCTTCACCTTGTGGTATGAGTTCGAAGAATAAATAGGCTAAATCTAAGTTACCAGCAAAGATATTATCTAACCCTTGTGAATGGCATGAAACTAAATTGTGCCAAGCACTCATCTAGGGTTTTATTGAAGATCGATTAATTTAATTGAATTTTGGCCATTCAAATTTCAAAAATCAACCAATGATCACGTATGATATATTTCAATCATTATTTTTTAATTCATAATTGGCGGTTATTCTACCGGGAATTTTATAGAAAAAAAAAATTGAGAGATTCTTATTCTTTTAGTTAAACATATGCGGGCATTATTACTGAAAGAATCACTAGAATTAGTATAAAAAGATAAAACATCCATATTTCAATTGATTTGTTCAAGATAAAGATCAAATTATCAAATTGTATCGAAATTTCTTTCGGCGAAGAGGATTTGGGTCCATTACACCAAAGTGAGAATATGATCTGTTTAGATTTAATCATATTACTCTAATATTCGAAAATATATTTTATATCAATATAAAAATCTTTTTGCTGAAGTTGATTGTTAACTAGTTCTTAAGTTTTGAATGGTAATGCATTGATATACTAAAAATAAATGAAATTAATTTTTAAAATATTCGAACAAATTTTATTCACAAATTTATATATAAATAAATTATTGCTTAGAAAGATAGTATGATGGTGGTAAGTCGTAATCGAAATTATCTGAATTAAATAGCAAATACATCTTTTGATCTCTGATAAGGTCAGATAACGGTGATGATGAAGTATTTGGTAAGCCAAGCTTTTCAACTGTAGCTGCTTTGTTAGGATTTTGACCGTTAACGAATTGAGTTGCAGTTTCCTTTGTTTTTGTCATATTCTTCCTGCCTAAATAATCTAAAACTAATGTGTAGCCCATTTCCCATGTTTCATCCTGTTTTGAAGCATCAAGTACTGGAAATAGTTCTTTCAAATTTTCTGGTCCTTTTGCCAAGATTTGATTTCCAAGCTTATTGTAATATGTTGCTTGGATATGGTTAGTAATTCCTTTCTGTTCGAAGATGTCCTTCAGTACTTCTTTCTGAGATCTTTCTTGCATTATTTTTCGTTAAAAATAGCGTTAAAAAGTGACAACTCTAACTCAAATTAGAATATTTGTCTAAAAATTATTGCATCTATGTGTATTAGCTTATCAGTTAATTTCAGCCTATGTAAATTGATCCGACTTTCAAAATAATCATGAGCTAAATGAATATTCATGACTTCGAATACATTGGAGCACACATTAAAGAGATATCAACAAAAATAAGTTCATCACTATGTTCAGACTAGAAGATATCAAAAAGATATGGGAATTTACAAAATTGGCAGCAAATGACTGAATTACTCTTTTGGAAGCAATTTTCATCTATAATTAAAGCAAAAAGATTATATATCTGCATTCAGAAAGTCAATATTTCAATACACATCATATTGATACATCATTTATTTTTGTCTCAAAAAATGATTGTGTTGATACTGATATAGAAGCAAATGATTATCATTGAAGCACACTACTCATTGCTGTATCAAAAGGCTATCGAATAAAGAAGCAAAGAATAATTATTGAAGAACTCCACTCATTTTTGCATCACAAAAAGATCATCAAAAACTTGTTAAATATTTTATTGATATTGGAGCCAATAAAGAACTGTATTTGCTATTCAATTCAGATATTTTGAACATCAGAAATAGATCATCATTATATCAAATAGACTTTCTTTTTTTCAGCAATAAATGATCATCTTGAACTTATTAAATATTTTAGCTCTGCTGGAGTTAATAAAGAAGCGATTAACAATTGTGAATGAATGGTATTAATGGTATCATCAACTTCACGTATTTTGCTTGTTAAATATCCTATTACTGCTATAGCTGATATAGAAGCAAATAATGATTGTGGATAGACAGCACTTATTGAAGCATCAACTCATTTGACATAAAAAAATAGTTATCATATGAAACAAATACAAAAGATTTTTTTACACAAAAAAAGAGAAAAAAATTACCACTGATCGACCAATTTGAGTCCAAGTTTTGTTGCGTACTCTTTTAGAGCAGTGAAGTAAGTCTGTGACTCCAGGCATGGTGGAATACTTCCTTTGTCGCATGAAAGTCTCTGGTAGAACTCAAACTGTTCCAAGTTCAAGTAGACAAAGTTCACCAGAGTGAGATTTGGACCGGAAGGAGTAGGGCCAATCTGTTCTCTCGGAATCCAGTAGCATGATACTGCAATAAGCTTTGCGAGAACTGCTTTTATGCTTTGAATTTCAATTGTTTCGACAGATTTAATCAATTGTTGCAATCCTGCTTCAGTTATGTACTGGGATATTCTACTTGGTGAGTTAAGAAGCAAGTTTGTCATTGATTGAATAGCTAATACAACTGATGATTCGTTAATTCGGAGTTCTCCGTCGTTATCGAAGAAGAAAACATTGATATTGTGGATGGATTGTAACATGTATGGAACGAAATCGTATTTGGCCACAAAATGATTGAAGATTTCGGCATCAAATTGGTTTGACGTCAAAAGATACTGATGGACAACAAATAAAGTGGCCCAGATGGAAAGTGTGGTAATGTCGCATTGTAAATCACTCTCTTCTTGTGGATTTTCGATGTTTACGTCGTATATCGGATCATATTTTACAGAAGAGTTCAAAAATCTCGATGTTCCGTGGAGAGCTTTGGCCAGGTACTCAACAAATTTAGGAATCTGGGCTCCAACTGTTGTCAAAAACACTCTGGCTTTGTCATTATGAGATTTATCGGCCATTGGGCTTCCGTTTAGGTAATCTATGTATTCCTGTGATATTGTGAACTGCTTCTGCATATCCTGGACCTCTTGGATTGCTTTTGGAGGTGGATCATAAAGTAAATAGTTCAAATTCGCCATAGAAAGCTGTGTAGAGTTGGAAATAAATGGCTTCATTGTATAAGAAATACGCTTGGTATCAATATCTGTGTATTTGTGATAAAGGAGACTCATTAATGCAATTAAATGCTTCTTCGTAACGGATTGGCTTGAATTTAATAGGGAGGCAATGATCTCTGATGAATTGTAAGCTTGGTTATCAGCTAAGAAGCCTGAGCAGACGCATACAATGTTCAAACAAAGAGCTTTATCGATTGGATTCTGACATTTATCGAGCCAGCCAATGATAACGTGCGCAATATGTGTCTTCTTGAATAATGTTACGACTAAATCTAAATCATTACGTAAAATTATTGAGTTAAGAATTTGCAAAACTTGAAGTGGAGTTGAGGAGTACTTTGGAATTAAAGGAACTATATTTTTCTCTGTGGCTTCTAATGGTTTTGGCACATTGGCTTCGATATAGAGTTTCTCTCGTTGAGTATAGAGTAATTTGATTAAATTTTTAGGTTGAAACGGTTTATGAATAAAATCTGATGCAAGATCTACATGTGTGTCTTCAACCTGTTGATCAATGAATGTAATTTTTACTGGAGACAATGAAAGCTGCTCTTGTTGTGGAGGAAGAAACATTTGGACGATTGATAAAAGTGACAAAATAGCGAAAACATCTTTTATCTATTTCATTTTAGTGTTTCTATAGATATTTATGATTAAAGAACCATATAATCTATTACTTCAAATTGTAAAACTTGCTATTCTAATAGTTTCGCTCATTTTAACATATGCAAAACTAAGAATTAGGAATGTTTTTTCAAAGTGAAGTGAAAAAAGTTTTAAAGATCTGCTTAGTAGTATATGTGGAAGGGTTTAGTGACTTTTTTTGTTTCATCTATATATAGACGATGCATTAAAATATATTTATTTATAAATCATTAAAAAATTAACATTAATTTTAAAATAATTTATTTTTTTATCTTTTATAAAAGAAGCTATATATAGATGATGTCAGATATTCCGCGATTAATTAAACATTGTTTAAATCCTGAATGGGTTAAACTTCAATTTAAAAATGAAGATTGTGAATTATTAAATGAATATGAAAGCCAAAATAAGCTAATGAGGTATAAATATAATGATAAAGAATATTTAATTTCATGGAATCAATGGAGTCATAATCAAAGACCTCATAAACGAGAAGAAGAAATTGAAAATAATGAAATGGAAATCATTGATGACATTAAAGAGGATGGAATTCCTAAATTTTGTAGAAAAACCTTTAGAACTAAGTTAGGAGCATATAAACGTAGAGTATTAAATCCTGAATATCTTAAACATCAATTTAAAAAGGAAGACTGCGAATTATTAAACGCTAATGAATATGAAAATGCTAAATCAAAACTGAGATATAAATATATTGGAAGTGATGAAAGGTGTAAAGATAAAGATAAAGTTTATACAGTTTCATATAATAACTGGCACACGTTAGGGATAAGAAAACATTTAGGAGATTATGGAAATGTTCTGAATTCTTCAAATCTAGTATGTATGAGAGAGTAAAAGAAATCAGATATAATTATCATTCATGAATGAAAGATTCACTACCATAATGAAATAAAAAAAATAAAAAAAATAAAAAAATAAACTTTAAAAATTCATGTCTTACATTTTTTGAATAATTTATTTTTTTAATTCGTATGAAAATGAGTGTCAAGACTAACGACGTTAAAAAATTGGGATTCACAAACGAGGAAATAAAGGATATATTAGAGGAGGCGAGTTATGAAGTTAATAAATATTATTTAAGAAATTGTCAAAAATTCGCGGAGTTATTAAATGATTTAGATTATGATGGAAAAATGAATAAAGATGATGTTATAAATTTCTTATATCCCACATCTGAAGAAGAAAAACCTAAAGAACCTGATGTTTTCCCTGAATATTATGAAGAACGGATTAAAGATGATGAATATGATGAAATTGAAAGACTGGAAAAAATAAGAGATGAAATAGATGAAAAAATTAAGGAATTAAGAGAAGTTGAAAAATATAATGAGAATGAAGTAGAGGGTTTAATGAATATCCCAGCTTCAGAATCAGAAGTTCAAAAATCTCATGAAGAAAGATATAAAAATTACTTTTTGGAATCTACTAAAAATTTATTAGATGGTGAAATAGATGAAACACTTTCAGAAGAAGGCACAAAATTTATTCATAAACATAAGTTACAATTTATTGACGATGGAGATTATCCATGTATATTACTTTCACCTCCTCTTGATTCTGAAAAATTCAAAAAAGCACTGAAAAATGTAACATATGCAACAAATACGATTAAGAAAGAAGACCATGATATTTACACAAATTATTATTTAAATAAATGTACAGGTGTTGATAAAGTTTTTGATTTGTTAGATAAAATATCAAAAGAAACAATTGGTACATATAAAATTTTATGCGATTGTGGTTTCATTATTGAAGATACTAATAATGTTTCATATGAAAGAACAGCACCGAAGGAAGACGAAGTTGAAAGGTCTATACCATTCGTTATTAAGAATATAAAAGATATGAAAACTTATAAACATTATATTTATTCATTTATTTCAGAAAAAATGGAAGCAACCCATAAAACATCATCTCATCATTTTATAGCTATTCATACATTCCTTTTCAAAGTTGTGAAATTAAATAAGACAGGAATTAGATTTAATGTATCAGGGTACGCATTCTTGAGTAAATTAAAATGTATTCGTCACGTCGCAGATGATAAAAATTTATGTGTTCTTAATTCATTTTATGGATTTTATGGGCTTTAAAAAATAAACTTTATTTTTATTTATTTTTTAATTTTTTATTCTTACATAAATGAACAAAAACGGAACAGCTAAAATGAATGATAATCAAATTAGAGCAGAAGGTAGAAGGTTATTTAAACGCTTCTATAACATTCCTGATGGTGTTAATCCTAAAACTCGTAGAAGCTATTTAAATGAAGCATAGATGCATATGAAGGATTTGACATTTCATCAGAAAGTGAGAGATTAGCGAAGAATGTTAAACGTTAATATTGATTTTTATTATTGTGATCCTCAACCAGAAGACGTGGACATAAATAAGGTAGACTTTCCATTAGTGGAATCAATAATGATAGATCCAGAATTTGAAACAGTAAATATTTTATTAACACAGAGTCCATGTGGAAAACTTCACGCTGACAGAATAACAGACGTAGAAGCACTCACAGGATATAAAGTTTGCCCCTTTTGCAAAGAAGAAGTTTATTCTATCCGTGATGATCCAGAAAGGAAAAACCAAAGAAGATTTTTAAAGCATTGTGAGAAATGTAAAGAAAATAATGGGAGATTAATTCAAGACGTTCAATTGCAAAAGACCCAGCAACCATATGCACCACATATCACGAAACAGAAGATATATCAATGGCTATTAGCTCACAATTTGCAGGAATATTATAAACCAACAAGATATTATATTACTTTTGACTTCGAAACATTAGAGACTAAAGAAGAATTACAACTTTCTGAGTGTGCAACTTTGAACGCTTACTTAAAACCATTCATGGTATCATCAACTGTCAAAATAAAGCCGCAAACGGACTCTTTGAGTCCTGAAGGTCTTTCAGACCGAAGCGGCGAGGTCGTAGACCGTGATAAAACATTTACGAGGAATTTTTGCTTAACATCAAGTGATTCGTTCATCTCTGATTGGATTGAATTTTTATTTTCAACCTGTTCATTAGTTGCTAAATCAAATATTGAACAATATGAAGAATTAATGAAGCCGCAAACGGACCAAACGGCTGGGACTTTGTCCCATACATTAAATGAAAAACAGAAGGAAGCATTTAAAGAACTTCTAGATGAGGAATTCAATAAAGTGAATATCATAGGTTTTAATTCGGGAAAGTTTGATTTAAATTTAATTCTTCGTGATTTAAACACTGCAAAATGGAAAATAAAATCAATGCTGGGTTCTTCTTCTCAATTTAAGCAAATCATTGTAAAGAAAACAAACTGTCCATATGAATTAAGATTTATTGACATCAGAAATTATATAGCGGGTGGAACATTAGACCAATTCACTCAAGATTTCGGAAACAATAAATCACGTGTTAAATCCTTTTTCCCTTATCAATTCATCACATGGGAGAATTACGAAGATGAATTATATAAAGTGGAACCATTCACTCAAGATTCATTTTATTCAGCATTAACTCAAGAAACTATATCCGATTCAGATTATCAAATATATCTCAATGATGCTAAAAATTTTGAGAATAGATTAGAATATTTTATTCATTATTGCAATAAAGACGTTGAAATTATGATTGACCCAATTGATAAAATTATTGAAGAAACATTTGTTTATAAAATTGACATGCTTCATAATCTTTCTTTATCATCGAATGCATCAATGATTCGTTACGCTTAGCATATAAGACTTCAATCCTAACGAAAATATCCAGAAGAAGAAAATGAATCAAGTTTTGAATTAACAGAAAAGTATTGGAAATATAAAATTGAATCATATAAGAAACAAGATGAAAAAGCAGAAAGGGATACTAAAAAAATGTTTCAATGGATGACTTCAATACTATCACGATTTAATCCTTTCATCTAAATGCAAAATGTGTGGTAAAGCGTTTACATATGCTAATAAACCAACATTGATAGAATCGATAATGAAAAACCACATACCAAAGAAAATTGTCAGTTAATGTGTTGTTATTGCAATGTCGTAAAATCAAATAAAGATGAAGATGTTCAACGTTTAAGAATCAATTTAAGAAATTATGCATTAAAAAATAATTTACCAATGACTCTAGATTCAGTTGAAGCTTATCACATCCTCCGTAATGGAATTACTGGTGGTTTATCAAATGTTCAACATAGAGTAAATCTTAAAGGAATCACGCACATTAATAAACTTTCATATAATCCAGAAACTAAAACTGTATCAAATGAGGACACTTCCAACATTATGACTCATTTCGTTGGTGTTGACTTTAATTCATTATATCCTTCATCATTTTCATCTAATCCTCATGATTTCATTCAATATACTGACCATAAAATGTATATGCCGGGAAGATTGAATGGTGTTATCATTTGTGATACAGCAACAAAGAAAGCAAAAGCATGGGAATAATTAAGAAGAAAAATACTTTATTCGTGGCTGAAGTAAAGGGTCACATTGATGAAAAATACATTAATGATTACATAAACTTTTTACCGATAATAAGAAACTTAGATATTATCACAGATGAAAAAACAATTGGCAGTTTTATGTATAATTACATGAAATCAAACAATCTACCAGTTGACCAGAAACAGAGAAAATTAACTCAGTTAGCATCAACACACAACCAATATCAACCATTTTCTTCTTATTATCTTTGGTATCTAATAGACAGATTTCATTTTATCATTGATGATATTCAATCAATTTTAACATTTACTAAAAACACTTGTTTTAATGAATTTGCGAACGAATTTATGAATGAAAGACAAAAGGCTGAATTAGAAGGAAATAAAGGAAAAAGTTTATTTTGCAAGATTTCACTTAATGGATCATATGGTTACGATGCAATGAATACACAAAATTACGCAAAGACTAAAATAATGAATGCACAGAAGGCACGCGTTGCATGTATGTCAAATAAGTTTAAAAACATAAGAGAAATAGGTGAAGATACGTATCAAGTGATGCTTAAAGATAGATTTTATAGATGTGATACATGTTTACAAGAGGCATTCTTCACTTTAGATAATGCTAAATACTGGTATTTGGTTTTCATTTATGATTTTATGTATAAATGCATGGATGTTAATCGTTTTCATTTCATTGAAGGTGATACTGATTCATCTTATTGGGCAATCGCTGGCGACCCAAATCTTCCTAACACTCAAGCATTTCAAGCAATTGTAACCGATAAAAAATTTTATGATAAAAACATTTACAAATTCGCACCTTTTGATTTCTTTTGTTTTAATGAGAAATTTAAACCTAAATTAAAGAATAAAGCTGAAGAAAAAGCACATGAGAAGAAGTTATTGGGTTTAGCAATTGAGAAACAAGGTGATAACATGGTTGCTTTATGCCTAAGTGTTATACATCATTCAACGGTTCAATTGATGGAAGTGATTTTAAAAAGATTGCACAAAAAATGAAAGGTGTTAGTTTACGACAAAATAAGCAATTAACACCTAAAAATTATTTGGATATAATAAATGATAAAGTGATATTTGATGGTCAGAATATTAATTTACAACTTAAAAACGGGTCAATGACTCGCTTAACAATCGGTAAGACTGCATTAACAGGAGCACACACTAAGGCTGTATGTTGTGAAAATGGATGTTGTATGCCATTTATTTAATACAATTTAAAATTTTATTTAATAAAATGCCACAGAAGAGACAAAAGGAACCGTTAATGAATGGTTTTGATACTATGATTCAAAGAGGTGGGCACCCTTAAAACATTTATTTTATTTTTATATAAATGAATAGCGTAGATTTAAAAATTTAATTGATGATTTAGTACTTAATCAAAATTTTCTTGATTATTACGATTTAAAAGCATATCTCCAAAAACATAATAAAAATATAACGGGTGATGATATGGAATATTATTATCGTATTATAAAAATGAGTTTTGAAATATCATGATAAAATAATTTCTAAAATTAAAGACAAAATTAAAAATAATGAATATTCAAAGGAAAAAACTAAATCACAACTTAAACAGTTGAAAGATTTCAAAAATAAAGTATTAACAGAAGAAGATATTGATGAATTATATAAATTATATAATCCTGAGCCGCAAAAGCAAAGGAGCAAAAACAAAAGGTGCAAAACACCCAGGTCCTTCAGACCATAAATGATGCACAAGCTTTAATTTATGATTCATTAGTTAAACCATATTCAGCCCGACTTTTAAATGAAGATCAACTTTTGGAATTCATCCTTCAACATAAACTCGAAGCGGGAAAGTATATCAAACCTTTATATACAGCATATTTAAAACAAATGAATAGAATACATCCAGAATTAATGAAGGGGAATGAATCCAAAACTTCATCATCCAAAATCAAAGCAGATAAAATTAAACCACTTGCAACACCAAAACCTCCAACGACAGTACCACCTCCTCCTTCAGTTAATCCTTCATCATTCACTTTATTATATCCATTTCAAACATTAAAGAAGCAAAAAGATTTTAAAAAGGATTTCAAAATATTAAATAAACCAACTGACCCAAAAATTCAACCGTTAAAGGAAAAATTTAGTCGCCCTTCATTTGCACCATATCCATATTCATACGAAATCGATCATTTAGAATATTCAAAAGGAAACGTTACTTATTTATTTGCCATTAACATTAACACCAGATATTTATATTGCATTCCGGTGAAAGGGAAAACAGAACAGGAAACAAGAAGAGCTATTCAATACTTACTAGATCATGAAAGAGTAGATAATATAAGGGGTGATGGTGATAAAGGATTTCAGGCAGCTATGACTCATTATTTCCCACAAATTAATTTTTACTTTTCATCCTCTCCATATACGTTTCATAATAAAATAGTTGATGCGGTAATGAGAACTCTTAGAGATGCGTTAGGGGTTAACGGTCAGATATACTGGGATGGAAATCATGACTCCATCATACAACAGTTAGTATATTATTACAATAATACATGGCATAGAACAATAAACATGAAACCGGTGGAAATGAAAAATGATATTTCAAAAGAATGGGAATATATTAGAAAGCAAATGGAAAGGTTGAATGATGTTAAACGTGAACAAATTAATTCGGGGCTCATGAATTTTAAACAAGGGGATAAAGTTTTGATTCATCTCGATTATGGAAAAACTGATAAATCAATGACAAAAAGAAGACGAAGATTTGACACAATAGCTGAATTTGTGAGATATATTAACGGCAATGCATTAGTTGAAGTTGACAATAAATTAATAGAAATTCCGATTTATTTTATTACTCCATTATATTTAAATAATATTTAATTTTTTTATTTCGTAAGAAATGAGTGACAACGAAGCATCCAAGAGTCCAGACGAATGAATATAAAAAGAAACTAAACAGAATTAAATCAAAAATATGCTATTACAAAAAGAAGCGCAATGCGGTGGGGTTGAAAACGATAAAGAGAGGAAAGAAATAATCGAAAAATTAGAAACTTATCGTTCAATCCTTAAACTGAGTGAAGCAAAAATAAAAGAATTTAATAGAATAAATAAATTGATTGGAAGAGATGAATTTAATAAAGATGAATTTTTAAACTCTATCCAAATTTAATTTTTATTCCTCTTCGACAACATCTCTCTTTCCATCATTACTGCATAACCACATTTTCTCAATTTTAGTGGTTTGTTATTTTTAACATGTTCTTGCATCATTTTTATCATTTCCTCCCTTGTTATGATTCGTGGTAAATTTTGAGCTTGTGGGGTATTCATTTATGATAAAAATAAAAATTTGTTTTCAGTTATTTTATCGTTAAGTGACTCAAAGAGTCCGGAGACAAAGTCTCATGGTTTTTAGGTTATTCAATAATTAATTCATAACTACCTTCCTCCTGCTGTGTTGTCAAAATGTCAAGACCCTCAGGTCTCGTCACACAGTGACTGTTGTCACACTTTTTCAGAGAAGTTAAATGACCTGGTAGCACATGGTAACATGGTAGCACCTTCAGTTATTCAATAATTAATTATTTTTGAATAACTGGGAAATAAATTTACGTCAAATATGCAATTTATAAAATCTTATGTCGACAGGCTACGTAGCACAGTGGTCTAAGGTGGTGTTATGGAGGGGTCAAGGTCTGTGGTTCGAACCGCGACGGCGCCGTATTTTCTTATTTTCTTTGTTTGTCTTGTTTGTCGTGAATAAAAAATGTCATAAAAGTGCTCTATCTTCCACGGGAATAAATAAAAAATTTACTTTATTTCTTCTTTATTTCTTTGTTCCCGTGGAAGAAGGGTTTTGCTGTTTTTCTCAGCCGAAATCAACGATTTTTTCATTTTTGGAATCCTTAGCAAATGAGGAATCTTTTCTCTCGTGGAAGCTTTGACCAAAAATATAATTGAGGTGAAGAGGTGAGATGTCACCCGTTTTCTCACCTGTTTTTATGGTAGTAGTGAAATAAAATTTTGTTATCAGTTATTTTATCATCATTTTATTAAGTTCATCTTTAGTTAATAATTTGAATGGATTCGCTAATGTTCCACCTTGAGTCACAACACTTGCCCCGGCTAATTGTGAAGAACCTGGGATAAGTACTCCATGAAATGATTTCATTGGTATCATTAATTTAGAAATAGTTGGCTTAATTAATTTGGTCATTTATGATAAAAATAAAATTGCATAATTTAAATTTTTTTTCTTTCTCATTTTCTCATTTTCTCATTTTTCATTCTGTTTTGGTTTCAGCAACTTTTCAAGTTGTTGTCTTGTCAGTAACTTTAATTTTAACTTTGGATCAAATATTGGGTTTCCATCTTTATCTCTTCCAATAACACCATATGGTAGAATCTTCATTTATACTAAAATAAAAATTTGAATTATGTCGTTCACTCTTTTGGAGCTCCTAAAGTTTGTTTCACAAACATTGAGCGTTCATTGAACTCTATACCATGCGAATACAGTCATAAATGGTGGCATGTAATCTTTACTTTGTCCCGTTGTTTGTGTATATCCTGAAACGCGATGTGTATGGTTTCCTTCTCCCTGAGTGTCACTCCAGTAACAATTTATGGCAAATTTAACATCATCTTTAACATCATATCCTTTACCTTTTGTCATTCCTGACCAATCCCAATATCTATGCTTATGCCAACCCGCTTGAGATGTGCTTAAATCAATGTAGTGACTGTGTGCAGGTAAATTTTCACCTGTAATCGTTTTACTTCCCCCTGTTTCCTTTGAAGAGTTTGCACAATACAAAAACCTGTCGACTATTTGTTCCCATGCACCAACACCAAACATTGCTTGAGGACCTCTCACATCCATAGATGTATAAATAGAACCTACTGGGTTCATTAAATCAAACATATGAGATATTATAGGATTGTCTCTTTTGAACTTAAAATATAGTGTAACTATTTCGGGTTTCTTCTGGTTTGTGTCAGAATATTTTTTATAATATAATCTTATGTTTTCAGGGTATGTAAAATCTTGACTATAATATTTATTTCTGTCATCTTCATAATAGTATACTATTCTCGTTTTTTCTATTGCATTATATCTTTTATATCTATAATATTCTAAATATAATGTTTGCTTTTTTGGGTCTACACGTGCGTCAACACCATAGTCATAATAATACGGTGCTGGAGCTACGTTAGACAATGTCATATCTGTCATATCATAAACTCTTAAATATTTCTTTTGTTCGTCTCCATATAAGTTTAAGTAGCAGTTGTTGTCTAATGGAACTTTAACTTGTGTGCCATTATTCTTTATATAGCCTACATACATTTCATTGTTATTTTTCGGAATGAGTTTATACCGTATACCATTTCTTAAGGACTGTACAAACTCCCATCTAAAATATTTGTTTTCTTCATTGACAGAAAAGTCGCCAACAATAGTTTCAATATTTTTTGTTCCAACTAAACTTTGGTATATTTCGTTAACAAATGATATATCTGCTTTCTTTGCTAACTCATCGTTAACAAATGATATATCTGCTTTCTTTGCTAACTCATCGTTAACAAATGATATATCTGCTTTCTTTGCTAACTCATCGTTAACATAAGTTTTATCTGCTTTCTTTGCTAACTCATCGTTAACAAATGATATATCTGCTTTCTTATTTAACTCATCGTTAACATAAGTTTTATCTGCTTTCTTTGCTAACTCATCGTTAACATAAGTTTTATCTGCTTTAAGGTCTAAACATTCTGAAACCCATCCTGTATCAGCTTTAGTTTTCAGAATCTTCGATGTCCGTTCATGATACCATTCAACCCTTTCTATAATTTCATTATCTTTTTCATTAACATATTCCTTATCTGCCTTCTTCATTAACTCACTAGCCACATATTCCTTATCTGCCTTCTTTGCTAACTCACTATCCACATATTCCTTATCTGCTTTCTTCATTAACTCACTAGCCACATATTCCTTATCTACCTTCTTCATTAATGCACTATCCACATATTCCTTATCTGCTTTCTTCATTATGTCATTTAGGAAACCTTTTATGAATTCCTCATTTAAATTAAATCTTCCAATCTTCAAAACTTTAGGAAATGCATTTAATGCGTAATATCTTTGTTCTTCTGGTGGAATTGATGTTATATCATCCGTTATACCTTTAATTTTTGAATTCATAAATAAAATTTCTTTTATATTTGATATCACTGCACCACCTTTGCAAACGAATTCAAAATGGTCATTTTTCAATACTATCTCCAAATCTCCATATTTCAACCTTTGCGTTTGTTCTGCCGTCTTTGAATTATATGCATATGTGGCGTATGTAATGGTCTGTGGTTGTTGTTGTTTAATCATTTTATTACGATTTAAAAATAAATATTTAATCTGTTATCTCATCAGCTATTTTTTCTATTTGAAATTGCCATAATATTTCATTCATAAATTCTAAATCACAATCAAATAGGTCAGTTATTCTAAATTTAATATTTGATAAATCTTTTGAATGAAGAATAAATGAATTCCCGGATAATTGAAACGGATATGATAAAGAAAATATGTTTAAGTTGATGGATAAAATGTTTTGTATTGATGGGTAAGAGTTAGGGTCTAATGTTTGATGTGAAAATCTCATTGGGGTATTAACTTTATCACATTTGATTAAAATGAAATTAGACCAGTGTCAGAATACAAAACATCCCCAACATCTTTTTCAAAATTTAATATCCCCAACAATGAACGAAGATGAGGGGTACAAAATTTAATTTTCAGCGGAAATTTAATAAGGTTATTTATTTCATCAAGTTCAAAAAGTTTATCAGGTTTTGATTTAAAATTTTCTTCATACCATACGATAAATGATTCATTTAAATAACTTAAAATCATGTTAATATCCCATTTCGTTATCACATTATTTATATACATATCATACGTTTTTAGGTCTACGACCCCGCCGCTATGCGGCTCATGGTCATCTTTAATAAATGATATATAATCTGAAGGGTTTAAAAGAATGGGATTAAATTTACCACTCACAGAAACGAGAGTAACATTATAAATTCCACTAACTGTTAAATTTAATTCACAATTATTATTCGAAATAATATTGATAATTGACATTTTTTTTATTACGATTAAAAATATGGTAAAGCGTTATTTTCCAGTGATAAATAAAACTAGAATAAGATTACCTCAAGAATTCATAAATTCAACGAATAAGAAATTCATTCATGTTATAAATTTTAGTGTTTTCAGAAAATATGAGTCGATGTCATATTCATCATCAGGTTATATTTCACTTCATTCAAATTTAGTTCAATCAAACCCATATAATGACCATTTCATAAGATTTTCAGATGGTATTAAAAATGTAATTGATAGATTAAAATATGAACAGATTGACAATATCGAATTTTTGGAATTTTGGTTTAAATATCCTGATGGAAAAAAGATTGAAGTTAAAGATAAAGCTGATACTATAACAAAAACAATTACAATGACTGATCCGGATAGTGGGGAACAAAAAGAAATAAAACAAACGATAGAAACTGGTGAAAGGTCAATTATTATCGATTATGATTCAAAGGATTATTATTCGATAATGTTAATGCTTGAATATTAAATAGCCTTAACAAAGAATTTTTCAAGTGATATTTTATATTCATCAACTATTTTATTATAAATATCATTATATGTTAAATGAAGTTCAGTTGTTGTTCCGTTCTTTGATATCTTAATTGTGCTAATATCCTTTATAGGATTTATTTTTGCAACTGTTCCACAGCATGAAACCTCATCATCTATGAAAAATTGAATCTTCAACGTCTGAATCTTGAACATCACAAAGAATGGCGATAATGTGAATTAATGATTCATAAGGTAAAATAATTAAACCGGATTGGTCAATTAAATTTATTATTGAATCATAATTATCAGTTATTATATCACGGTAAATTTTCATTAATTCAGAATTAATGTCTATTTTATATGGGTTATCAAGTGGTGCTGGTATGTTGGATAAGTGGGAATTTCAACAGGTTCTTTACCAGGTTCAGATAAAATGATTGGGTCTCCATCTTCTTTATTTTGCTCTTCCTCATTCTTCGGTAAGTCACGAGTTAATAAATTTGGTTGAGTTGCTGACCTTGTTAATTCAGGACTAACATTAACTTTAACATTTTGAATAATTCGTGATTTATCATCATTTACGTTATAACCAACCGTAATCTCTGCTTTTGCGTTAGTGTTCTTTTGACTAGTGAAACGTCTTCTCATTTATATTCGAATAAAAAAATATATTTAAACTTTTATTTTGCTGGAACTTTTGAATCTATTATTTCCTGTATTTGTTCATGAAGTTGATTTTTAGCATTTTCATCGAAATTAATAGACCGAATATATTCATTAATTGCATTCTTATAATCATTGATTTCTCAAATTTTCTTTTATCTGATTCCTTAACTAAATCATAAGTTAAACCTCGTTGCTGATATAATGGTTTCTTAATTAAATCTTTGAATGCTTGAGATAAAGCACCTGATGCAATTCTTGCTACTATAATTGGTTGGAATTGCTGTTTAAGTTCATCTTTAACATTTGCGAAAACTGGATCGAATAAAGCAACTTTAAAGAATTTCTTAGCTGGAATTTCAGGTCTTAAATTTGCATATTGACCATCAAACTGGTTAGAATATCGTGGTAATCCATCCGGTCCCTCTTCAATAGCATTTAATTCTTCATTGAAGTAAGAATATGGATTATGACGGTATGAATTAATTGGACCATTTTCACCTTCTCCAATGTATTGTTTAACAGCTTTTCCATTTTCATCAAATTGCATAGGATAATGTTCATTATATGCTTTACGTTTAGGATAATCCGTCATTGTTAATTTATACCCATTTATGACTTTAATATTTCCTTGACCATCAGTAACGAAAACTTCATTTATTCCATCAGGTTTTCCATTTGGACCCGTAATGTCTGCTTCGTGTGCTTCCCAATTTGGTCCGTGACGTTTGGCATATGCTTGAGCTTCTGGTAATGTTAAAACGTTTCTCATTTGTTTAACATCCTTTTGAAGACCGGCAACACAATGAACTAATTCTTTCATTCCGTCTGGAACTTTCATAGTTCTATTATATGCACCCTTTTTGTTTGTTCCTTGTTTTAATGGAACCTGTAGAAGATTTGCTATTTCTGTCATGTTTAATTATAAATAAAAAATAAAAATTAATTATAAAAAGTTATTCAAATTTAACACCTTTATTTAAATCAACTATTATTTTTCCATGTTCTCCTAATTGTTGATATTGTGTGTAAAGTTCATTAATGCTCATTGGTAAATTCACTTGATAAAGCATAACGTTCAACTGTTGACGACTAAACCACTGAAAATGAAAAGGGTGACAGGTTTGATTTAATGTTTGTGCTTAATGCTTTAAAGTATTGAACAGCCATGAAGAATGAACACTGAATGTGTCGACATTGAGTTAATAATTGATTAAAATATGATTTCTCATTAGTTATTAGTTTTGATTTCACCGCATCATCTAGAAAAATGAGTGAATGCAAAAATTCTCTATCAAAATTTGAAATAGAAAGTGTTTCAAATAATTCATCCCTTTGTTTATCAATAATTTTATCCTCTAATCCTTGCTTCTTGATTGTATTATATAATTCTTTATACATTACAAAGTTTTTTAAATAATCTTCTGCTTCTTCTTGTGATAAATAAATAATTGGAATTTTGATTAAATGCTTTAAAGATTCAAATGTATCATCTGAAGGTGAACCTGAACGGTTGATATAAATTAACACATGTGAATAGGGTGAAGTGTTAGCAATAATGATAATTTGTTTTAATATCGTTAATGTTTTACCTTTATTTTGTTTACCAATTGCTGCAGTGATTGAATTTAAGTAACATTCAGAATATGGAATTTTCATTAATTTTTCCTTAGATAGAGCATTTCTATTATCACTCAATGCTTCATTAATCATATCATCTACGTATGTATTATATACTCCTGCTAATTCTTCATAAGGGGTGGATGAATTTAAATCCATTTAATCAAAAATAAATTTATAATTTTATACATTTCTATTCATCAATATTTCATCATATGAACTTCTATACTGTGGTGGTGTACCTGTTGGATGATATTTCAAACCTTCGTCCGGTGTCCATGTCCAATATGTAGTCCTAGTAAACCAAACCTGAGGAGGATTTGTCACCTTTGAACAGTAAGTGTCATTTTCACCCTGAATGATTGGATAAGCTTTCACTTGTACTGTAACTTGTGAGTTGAAAGTTTCTAATCCATCAAAGAATATACCCGCTCCATCACGTTGAACTGGAATAGTGCATAAGAATGAAGTTTGGTCTTTCCATGTTCTAGCTAATGGCGTGCCATTATCATCATTCAATGGTCTAGTTAATGAGTCCTCGTATTCTTCCGTGCATTCATTCACTCCATCTAAATCAGAAGCTTGAAGCATACGTGTAAAGAATATGTCGCCCACTGTGGTCATCGCTTGATCGGGGAAGTTTCTGGAATCTATAGTGACCTGAAGACCTCGAAGCATTGGATTTTCTAAAACCGTTCTTTGCATTGCATTCTTCGGAAATGTTAACACAACATCTGTAACATTATGAAGAGCGTATGAGAAATCTGAGCTGATACCTTCAGGAGTGATGCAACCTCCATTTAGTGAACGAACGTCAATATGTTGAGCTGGAATCATGAATGGATCTTCCTTACTAAATAAACGTGGTATTGCTTTAACTGATTCTTCAATTAAACCGTATCCTGGTGTAATGCATTTATCCTCTAAAACTTCCATCTTTGTGCATGAAATAATAACGTCTTCAACTGTTGCGTCAGCAGATGTAGCGGCTAAGCCTGTAATTAATTTGGCAGGAAGTCCGATTTGTTGGAATTTGCGATCATATTTATAAACATGATTCATAATCTTTTCATAATTTTCATCAGTTATCTTTTCATAAACGTAATTTTGTAAATCAGCAACTCTTAACGGGTCAACCTGACAAAATACTAAAGTATCCCTGAAAACATAATATTTAAGAATGATTTCACCAAATGATTTAGGATAATCATCGAACGCCTGAAATGCTAACAAATCATTTACCGGAATAATCATATCAAAAGTGACATCAACTTCTTCATTTGCTTTCTTGAAAACTTCTGAAGGGTCAATATATTTACCACATACTGAGTTATCATATTTTTGAACATTATTATATAACGAATGAACAAACTTTTTAACTTTCCTTTCTGATTTTGGTTTATATGTTGCAAATGCGAAAGATTCACGGGCGCAATCCATCTGAAGATAACCAGCATCACCTCTTTCGGTTTCTACTTCTAATTGTTTAAAGCTTTGATTTGATGATTTGTAACCAACGAATAAACGCATGCATTTAAAAGCGGCATCACATGTGAAAGCTTTATTTGAAACTAGAGTTACTTTAACTTTGCGTTTAATATATGTGTCACCTAATTGGTTCACATCATGAGCTGGATTTGTAATTCTTAAATGAGTTTGTTTATCATCAAAATATGGAGCATCAGAGTCATAGCATGAACTTTCAAGTTCTCTATAATATCTTCTTCCATCATTCTTTGCGAATATTTCATTTATCTTTTCGAATGAATGAAACACATTTCCATTAATCGGTTTAGTGTTTGGCACTAAATAGTTAGTCGTCATTTATTATTAAATAAAAAATCAAAATTAAAAGATGAAAATGAATTTTTAATTTTAATGAAATAATCAACTATGGCTGCAGGATTCTTTAAAAAGTTATGGGATAAAGTAAAAAGAGGAGCGCATAAAGTTTGGGAAGGGATTAAGAAAGGAGCAAATTGGATATTTAAGAATAAAGAAGCAATTAGTGACGTTGCTGAACAAATAGCACCTAATGTTCCGGTAAGGGAAGTATTAAATAAAGGAGATAAGGTTTATCGTCGACTACAACCGATATTGAGATAAAAATAATATTTATTTATTTTTCCACTACTTTCCTCCTATTTTATTAAGTATTCCTTCAGCAATTCCACCAACTGCGTTACCTGCTTGTGCTCCCATCGCTGGATTACCTGCTTTAGCACCTAATACTCCTCCTATGATAGTTCCTGCCGTTTTCGCTACTGGTGCCAAAAAGTTTGCAACGGGTTTAATAATCTTTTGATGAACCCAACTTGCAGCTTTCTTAATTCCTTCCCATAATTTTTTAAAGAATCCTGCCGCCATCTCTGATTTAATATTAATTAAAAAATATATTTCATCACTTATATTCTAATTTTTTATTTAATGATAAATGAAACCGATTTTAAAAATAAATGAAACAGAGGAGGAAGAAATAAATGAAAGTGAAAATGTTCAACAAAAAATAAATGTTGTTAAACCAATTACTGAAATAAAAATTTTTTCATCTGTTGAAGAATTTAATGATTATTATGCTAATAATAAAAAATTATTTGAAGAATTGACAACGTGTAAATTGAATAAAATGTTTAAAGTTGAGGACAGAGTCCAAGACCCAGAGGGTCATGGATTCAAAATTTCAAAAATAAAAGGAGTGGTTAGTTTGAAATCTATTCCTCAATCAAGAATCACCTCATTAATGAAAATAGATGATTTAACAAAAAGAATAGAAATTATTGAAGAGCGAATAAATCAAATTATTGATTTCATAAATTCAAATAATCATTAGTTCTTAAAGTTCAATGTTGAACTCATCAAATTCATCTTCATCATCATTACCTTTAGTGAGTTTATTTACTCTTTCAACTTTATCTTTTGATAGTCTTTCGTTTAATTTTTCTGAAGTTTTTCGTTACCAAGTTCTAAAATTTTACATGGATGATATTTAAACCCGTTAAATTCTTTTTCCTCAGTTTTAATCATTAATCTACAAAGAACTTTAGTGAAAAGGTTTTGTTGTTTAAACCACTTATCCTTAATATTTGTTATAAATTCAATATCCGGAATTAATTCCCAAATTTTTGAATTTTCGATTAATTTACCATCAAATGCAAAAGCAATAGGTTTAATATTAAACTTACCTTTATAAAATAAACTTTCTATGCAATCATCAAAATAAACGTCTACTTGTTTAACATGGGTGAGAATTGGTGAAAGTTTATTCATTAATTGATTCACAGTCACGAATTTTGATTCACTCATTTTCATACGAATTAAAAAAATAAATTATTCAAAAAATGTAAGACATGAATTTTTAAAGTTTATTTTTTTATTTTTTTTATTTTTTTTTATTTCATTATGGTAGTGAATCTTTCATTCATGAATGATAATTATATCTGATTTCTTTTACTCTCTCATACATACTAGATTTGAAGAATTCAGAACATTTCCCATAATCTCCTAAATGTTTTCTTATCCCTAACGTGTGCCAGTTATTATATGAAACTGTATAAACTTTATCTTTATCTTTACACCTTTCATCACTTCCAATATATTTATATCTCAGTTTTTGATTTAGCATTTTCATATTCATTAGCGTTTAATAATTCGCAGTCTTCCTTTTTAAATTGATGTTTAAGATATTCAGGATTTAATACTCTACGTTTATATGCTCCTAACTTAGTTCTAAAGGTTTTTCTACAAATTTAGGAATTCCATCCTCTTTAATGTCATCAATGATTTCCATTTCATTATTTTCAATTTCTTCTTCTCGTTTATGAGGTCTTTGATTATGACTCCATTGATTCCATGAAATTAAATATTCTTTATCATTATATTTATACCTCATTAGCTTATTTTGGCTTTCATATTCATTTAATAATTCACAATCTTCATTTTTAAATTGAAGTTTAACCCATTCAGGATTTAAACAATGTTTAATTAATCGCGGAATATCTGACATCATCTATATATAGCTTCTTTTATAAAAGATAAAAAAATAAATTATTTTAAAATTAATGTTAATTTTTTAATGATTTATAAATAAATATATTTTAATGCATCGTCTATATATAGATGAAACAAAAAAAGTCACTAAACCCTTCCACATATACTACTCTGCTTTTATCTGATTATCTGTAGGCTTTTGTATATGAACCCAATGAAATATTAATAAATATAAAAAATACTCTATCATATTATTGGATTGAAATTGTTCAAAATGGAAAGAAATCGATAAATTGCTTATTGGGAAACAAATTTTCATGTATCAGCATTTTTATGCGATGGCAGCTCATATAAGAGCATAAGATAAGGATTGTATATGATCATAAGAGTTAATTGTTAAGTTTCTTATAAGATTCAAATTATATTCAGCGATCCCATAAGGAGTTATTGAGTGAAAATGATATAAACATAATGAAATGCAAATATATTCGGTTTATAAGTCCCATTATAACTATCCTGTATAACAATGCACACCTGTAATAATTTAATAAAAATGTTTTATCCTTTGCGCGATGTTTGCGTAAATGATAATAGAATGTCTTTTACAATTATTTTCCCACATCAGTATCACGTATTCCGATGTTCACCATTCGAATTACTCTTCACAAAATCATTTTCAGATATTTCATTAGGAAGTGTAACAACATGCCAAGGGATGAGATTCATTGCTGTTTCTGGACTTCCTGCTGATACTGTTTTTAATACTAAATGTGTTCGCGTTTATGATCATGATAAAAATGATCAAATGATTTTTGAAACAAAGTTCGATGAACATATACTAAACATGCGATTGACACCAGAATTCTTAGTATGCGCATTTCACAAGCATGTTGAAGTCTGGAACATTATAGAAAAGCAGAAAATTAACGTATTTCCTGCAGGTGTTAATGTTCATGCTCCAATCGATATTTCTCATGATTTTTCAGCTCTTGCGATGTCTGGCGAAGTTCCAGAAGATGTTGCAATTTCTCATTTACAAAATTTGAAATTGAAAAACTTTCATGCCGCAGATAATCCTGTTTCATTAATTAGATTTTCACGTACAGAATCTCTCTTTGCTACAACAAGTTCAGCCGGCCACGCAATTAAAATCTGGGATCAAAATACAGGAAATTGTGTGAATAAATTCAAGAGAGGTAACACAGCATCTATTATTCACTCAATAGATTTCTCTCCAGATAATAATTTTGTTGCTCTTTTCTCTCAAAATGATACTTTGCATTTCTTTGATAATTCAAAGCGAAAAATGACTGGAAATCCATCAACAACACGTTCAATACATAGAATCAGCATTCCTGATATGCAAAACGTGGTTTTATCATGGTTTGAACAAGATAAAATTGCTGTTTTGTCATTAGACGGAAAAATGGTTGTTCTAACCATCGATGAACAATGCCATGAAATTGCTCGTGAATCCATCCAGTTTATGCAAAGAATTATAGAAATTGTCCCTCAAGATTCAACATAATTTTGTTGTTTTTATAAGAATAAAATAGATAGTATGTATTTATATAAAAGTCAGCTTTTCAAATCGTTCGAAATCCTTTATCGAATAATTTTGAACTTTTATTGATAATAACTTCATTTGTCTAAGTTAAATAGCACCTGTATTGGTGAATTCATTCGATGCAGTATACATCCTACAAATTCTATCGCAATATTGAATTTTATATCTGTGAATATGTTATATTTCAACTAGAAATTCCTTAACTTAGCTAAATCATTCATCATATGTTAGATTCCATATAGATACTCTTTGCTGGTCTGGCCATTATTATAAACTTTTTCTAATAAACGAACATATACTGAGATAGAATGCTCAATCAATAAAGTTTTTAATATAGTGTTACCACATATATAATGGCAGTGAATTTTTCAGAGGGTATCTTTAAATATACAACAATTCCAGATTCAAAAACTGCCAAAATAGGAAATGCGATTGATAAGGAAACATGCAATTCTGGGATTTTGGATGTTAACTACTCTCATCCAGTTAAAATCCCAGAGTACGCATACCATGATAATGTTAAATACGAGATTGTTGAAATAGGCATTTCGGCCTTCAGATACTGTAGGTATATTCCTAAAGTCACGATTCCTCCAACAATAATAACTATTAATTATTGGGCTTTCGATTGGCTCATTTCTTGCAAAGAATTTGTATTTCTTCCTGGGAGTAAATTGACTACCATTGTTTCCGGGGCATTCAGTAGATGCTATTCCATTACTACACTAGTCCTTCCTAATACGGTGCGCTCTATCTCGGACTATGGCCTTGCTTATTTGGGTTCTTTGAAAACTTTGTATATTTGTGGAAATCCTTCGATTTCTGAAGACATATTTTGGGATACTGTGAAAGACGAAGGTGATGTTGTAGCTCCAAGTGATTTACAGATATATGTTCCTTTTGAGTTTACTGGAACTTCAACATATAGAAATTTTACAAAGACATATTTTAACAAAGTTTGCGATTTCACTATCAAATGCAAAACATGCTTTGATTGTACTCTCGATTTGCATTTAGCAACTCTTTTCACTATTATTTTCATTTCTGTTTAATAAAAAAATTTAGTTTTAAAAGATTAAATGTTTATATTACTAATGTCTTAGAAATTATCCATAGAATAATACGGATTATCATTATTGTGATTTTGCTGTGCAGGATCAGATGTGATACTTGGTGGTAGATAAAATGGAGTTGGTAATTGACTATCTTGGTAATTTTCATCCTTTTCTTCTTCATCTTCTTTATTCACAAGAATATCGCCTTCAATGGTCTTTCTTCGCTTGAGATAACAATATACACCAATAACAACACCAATAATGCATAATGCCACAGCTAAAATGATCGTAATGATGATAGCTGCTTTGTTGTGATGGTGATTATCATCACCACCATCATCATCATTATCATAATAAGGCTCGGTAGTATTTAATTGGTCATAACTATCGTGAGTTATATAATAAGCTTTGTATTTTGAATTAGAGCCGTTGATCAAATATGAATTAACTTGTTGTTGTTCACCAGAAATTACAAAGGTAACAAGTCCAATTTTAGAAGATAGAATTGAATAAACTGGATTCGGATAAATATTGGAATCTAAGTAAGTAATGAAACCATTTGTTAGAAAACAATTATATTTTGAATCATTTTCTGAATTGATTCTTACAGATCCATCTAGGGCGCGTAAAGGTTTTGCGTCCTAAGGCGTCCTGATGTAAACTATTCAATTTTTGAGAAGTTTACACCATAATTGAATAGTTTATGGCGTCCTGAGAGGAGATTTCAATGGGTATGGCGTCCTAAAAAAATAGAAGAAAATGATTTTTTCTCGATTTTTCTAGAAATTGAATTTTTTAAAAAAGAAAAAAATCAAAACGTATACATTCAAGAAAGACTATAAATGAAGATTTTTCTATTTTTTTTCATTCTAAAACATCTTTTTTTGGATAATTTTTTTTTTAATAAATATGTAAGAAAGATTGAAGAAAAAGTAAATTTACTTTAAGAAAATTCGTTTTACATGATGTAAGACCCATAACAACTATAAATATTCAATTATTTAAAATAAAAAAAGAAAAACAGATTAAATGTATCTCACATCAAAATCCATTGACCTAAGGATGTTAAGTTTCTGTTTTTAAAAGTTGATATTTTTTTTTAATTTTAAGAAAATTAATAGCATGTTATTAGACAATAGGAGTGTAATGATATTGACTAAACAGAAATGAGAGAATAGAGATATAATTTTGATAAGCAATATTAGTAGTATATGATACGGGTTGTGTGACTTTTTTTGTAATCGTAAGAATTCTCACATAATTGAATGATTTTTGAACATACTTCCGAATAGCAGATTTTAAAAATTTATGAATAATTTATAAAAAGTTTTTATTCCTACAATTCCTATATTACCATTAATAAAAAGAATATATTCTTGCAAAATATAAAACCTATTATAAAGGTCGGAAAGATTAAATTTCCGTGCATAGTAGAAATATACTTAGATGATGTATGTGACGAATTTCACAGACTAAATGAAAAAAAGACTTTATATAAAGATTTTGTTAAATTTCTTATTGAAAATTATTTGAAGCCTGAACATGTGATTCCAAAATATCACCGATGATATTTTAAAAAATAAAATAAATTATATTTTTTAAATAAAAAAATAATTTTTATCTGATAGAAATAATACCTACAAATGACAGTATATAAAAAATTGACTTCTTACGTAAAATTAAAACTAAGTTAAATTTATTTTTTTTATTTTATAATAAATGAGTATAACAACTAATTCATTGAAATCTTTAAAGTTCACTAATTCAGAATTAGAAAATATTTTAGAAAAATTTGGAGACGGTTCTTATCCAACATATATGCAGAATGTGAAAGAGTTTTCCAGATTGTTGAATGAATTTAAATATAACGGACCAATTACTAAAAAGGCTATAATGAGATATTTATATCCCAAAAAAGTTGAAAAACCTAAAGAACCTGATGTTTTCCCTGAATATTATGAAGAACGGATTAAACAAGATGAATATTATAACGATGAGATTGAGAAATTGGAACAATTAAGAAAAGAAATAGATGAAAAAATTAGTGAATTAAGAGAAGTTGAAAATGAAGTAGAGGGTTTAATGAATATCCCAGCTTCAGAATCAGAAGTTCAAAAATCACATGAGGAAAGATATAAAAATTACTTTTTGGAATCTACTAAAAATTTATTAGATGGTGATATCGACGAAACACTTTCAGAAGAAGGCACAAAATTTATTCATAAACATAAGCTTCTGTTTATTGACGATGAAGATTATCCATGTATATTACTTTCACCACCTCTTGATTCTGAGAAATTCAAAAAAGCTCTTAAAAATGTGACATATGCAACTAATACAATTAAGAAAGAAAGAGATCATGATATTTACACAAATTATTATTTAAATAAATGTACAGGTGTTGATAAATTTTGATTTGTTAGATAAAATATCAAAAGAAACAATTGGTACATATAAAATTTTATGCGATTGTTTTCATTATTGAGATACCAATAATGTTTCATATGAAAGAACAGCACCGAAGGAAGACGAAGTTGAAAGGTCTATACCATTCGTTATTAAGAACATAAAAGATATGAAAACGTATAAGCATTATATTTATTCATTTATTTCAGAAAAAATGGAAGCAACCCATAAAACATCATCTCATCATTTTATAGCTATTCATACATTCCTTTTCAAAGTTGTGAAATTAAATAAGACAGGAATTAGATTTAATGTATCAGGGTACGCATTCTTGAGTAAATTAAAATGTATTCGTCACGTCGCAGATGATAAAAATTTATGTGTTCTTAATTCATTTTATGGACTTTAGCCCCGGACTTTAAAAAAAATAAACTTTATTTTTATTTATTTTTATTCTTACATAAATGAACAAAAACGGAACAGCTAAAATGAATGATAATCAAATAAGAGCCGAAGGTAGAAGGTTATTTAAACGCTTCTATAACATTCCTGATGGTGTTAATCCTAAAACTCGTAGAAGCTATTTAAATGAAGCAATAGATGCATATGAAGGATTTGACATTTCATCAGAAAGTGAGAGGTTAGCAAGAATGTTAAACGTTAATATTGATTTTTATTATTGTGACCCTCAACCAGAAGACGTAGACATTAACAAGGTAGACTTTCCATTAGTGGAATCAATAATGATAGATCCAGAATTTGAAACAGTAAATATTTTATTAACACTGAGTCCATGTGGAAAACTTCACGCTGACAGAATAACAGACGTTGAAGCACTCACCGGCTATAAAGTTTGTCCATTTTGTAAAGAAGAAGTTTATTCTATCCGTGATGATCCAGAAAGGAAAAACCAAAGAAGATTTTTAAAGCATTGTGAGAAATGTAAAGAAAATAATGGAAGATTAATTCAAGACGTTCAATTGCAAAACACACAACAACCATATGCACCACATATTACGAAACAGAAGATATATCAGTGGCTATTAGCACATAATTTGCAGGAATATTATCAACCAACAAGATATTATATTACTTTTGACTTCGAAACATTAGAGACTAAAGAAGAACTTCAACTTTCTGAATGTGCAACTTTGAACGCTTACTTAAAACCATTTATGGTATCATCAACGGTTAAATTAAACGATAAAACATTTACGAGGAATTTTTGCTTAACATCAAGTGATTCGTTCATCTCTGATTGGATTGAATTTTTATTTTCAACCTGTTCATTAGTTGCTAAATCAAATATTGAACAATATGAAGAATTAATGAATACATTAAATGAGAAACAAAAGGAAGCAATGAAAGAGCTTTTAGATGAAGAATTTTAAAGTGAATATCATTGGTTTTAATTCGGGAAAGTTTGATTTAAATTTAATTCTTCGTGATTTAAATACTGCAAAATGGAAGATAAAATCAATGCTGGGTTCTTCTTCTCAATTTAAGCAAGTCATAGTAAAGAAAACAAACTGTCCATATGAATTAAGATTTATTGACATCAGAAATTATATAGTGGGTGGGACATTAGACCAATTCACTCAAGATTTCGGAAACAATAAATCACGTGTTAAATCCTTTTTCCCTTATCAATTCATCACATGGGAGAATTACGAAGAAGAATTATATAAAGTGGAACCATTCACTCAAGATTCATTTTATTCAGCATTAACTCAAGAAACTATATCCGATTCAGATTATCAAATATATCTCAATGATGCTAAAAATTTTGAGAATAGATTAGAATATTTTATTCATTATTGCAATAAAGATGTTGAAATTATGATTGACCCAATCGATAAAATTATCGAAGAAACATTTGTTTATAAAATTGACATGCTTCATAATCTTTCTTTATCATCGAATGCTTCAATGATTCGTTACGCTTTAGCATATAACGACTTTAATCCTAATGAAAAATATCCTGAGGAAGAGATAGAATCAAGTTTTGAATTAACAAAAAAGTATTGGAAATATAAAATTGATTCATATAAGAAACAAGATGAAAAGGTGAAAAGAGATACTAAAAATAATGTTTCAATGGATGATTTTCAATACTATCACGATTTAATCCTTTCATCTAAATGCAAAATGTGTGGTAAAGCGTTTACATATGTAAATAAACCAACATTGGATAGAATCGATAATGAAAAACCACATACCAAAGAAAATTGTCAGTTAATGTGTTGTTATTGCAATGTCGTAAAATCAAATAAAGATGAAGATGTTCAACGTTTAAGAATCAATTTAAGAAATTATGCATTAAAAAATAATTTACCAATGACTTTAGATTCAGTTGAAGCTTATCACATTCTCCGTAATGGAATTACTGGTGGTCTATCAAATGTTCAACATAGAGTAAATCTTAAAGGAATCACGCACATTAATAAACTTTCATATAATCCAGAAACTAAAACTGTATCAAATGAGGACACCACCAACATTATGACTCATTTCGTTGGTGTTGATTTTAATTCATTATATCCTTCATCATTTTCATCTAATCCTCATGATTTCATTCAATATACTGACCATAAAATGTATATGCCGGGAAGATTGAATGGTATTATCATTTGTGATACAGCAACAAAGAAAGCAAAAGCACTGGGAATAATTAAGAAGAAAAATACTTTATTCGTGGCTGAAGTAAAGGGTCACATTGATGAAAAATACATTAATGATTACATAAACTTTTTACCGATAATAAGAAACTTAGATATTATCACAGATGAAAAAACAATTGGCAGTTTTATGTATAATTACATGAAATCAAACAATCTACCAGTTGACCTGAAACAGAGAAAATTAACTCAGTTAGCATCAACACACAACCAATATCAACCATTTTCTTCTTATTATCTTTGGTATCTAATAGACAGATTTCATTTTATCATCGATGACATTCAATCAATTTTAACATTTACTAAAAACACTTGTTTTAATGAATTTGCGAACAAATTTATGAACGAAAGACAAAGGGCTGAATTAGAAGGAAATAAAGGAAAAAGTTTATTTTGCAAGATTTCACTTAATGGATCATATGGTTACGATGCAATGAATACACAAAATTACACAAAGACTAAAATAATGAATGCACAGAAGGCACGCGTTGCATGTATGTCAAATAAGTTTAAAAACATAAGAGAAATAGGTGAAGATACATATCAAATGATGCTTAAAGATAGATTTTATAGATGTGATACATGTTTACAAGAGGCATTCTTCACTTTAGATAATGCTAAATACTGGTATTTGGTTTTCATTTATGATTTTATGTATAAATGCATGAATGTTAATCGTTTTCATTTCATTGAAGGTGATACTGATTCATCTTATTGGGCAATCGCTGGCGACCCAAATCTTCCTAACACTCAAGCATTTCAAGCAATTGTTACTGATAAACAATTTTATGATAAAAACATTTACAAATTCGCACCTTTTGATTTCTTTTGTTTTGATGAGAAATTTAAACCTAAATTAAAGAATAAAGCTGAAGAAAAAGCGCATGAGAAGAAGTTATTGGGTTTAGCAATTGAGAAACAAGGTGATCACATGGTTGCTTTATGCCCCAAGTGTTATACATCATTCAATGGTTCAATTGATGGAAGTGATTTTAAAAAGATTGCACAAAAAATGAAAGGAGTTAGTTTACGACAAAATAAACAATTAACACCTAAAAATTATTTGGATATAATAAATGATAAAGTGATATTTGATGGTCAGAATATTAATTTACAACTTAAAAACGGGTCGATGACTCGCTTAACAATCGGTAAGACTGCATTAACAGGAGCACACACTAAGGCTGTATGTTGTGAAAATGGATGTTGTATGCCGTTTATTTAATGAAATGCCACAGAAGAGACAAAAGGAACTGTTAATGATGGGCACCCTTAAACATTTATTTTATTTTTATATAAATGAATAATGTAGATTTAGAAAATTTAATTGATGATTTAGTACTTAATCAAAATTTTATTAGTTATTATGAATTAAAAATATATCTCCAAAAATATGATGAAAATATAACGGATGATGATATGGATTATTATTATTCATATTATGATAATGAATTTTTGAAATATCATGATAAAATAATTTCTAAAATTAAAGATAAAATTAAAAATAATGAATATACAAAGGGAAAAACTAAATCACAACTTAAACATTTGAAAGATTTCAAAAATGAAGCATTAACAGAAAAAGATATTGATGAATTATATAATTTATATAATCCTGAGTCGCAAAAAACAGAGAAACAAAAGGCCCAGGTCATTCAGACCATAAATGAAGCACGAGCTTTAATTTATGATTCATTAGTTAAACCATATTCAGCCCGACTTTTAAATGAAGATCAACTTTTGGAATTCATCCTTCAACATAAACTCGAAGCGGGAAAGTATATCAAACATTTATATACATCATATTTAAAACAAATGAATAAAATACATCCAGAATTAATGGAAGGAGGAATGAAATCCAAAACTTCATCATCCAAAATCAAAGCAGATAAAATTAAACCACTTGCAACACCAAAACCTCCTTCTGTTAATACTTCATCATCCAAAATCAAAGCAGATAAAATTAAACCACTTGCAACACCAAAACCTCCTTCTGTTAATACTTCATCATTCACTTTATTATATCCATTTCAAACATTAAAGAAACAAAAAGATTTTAAAAAGGGTTTCAAGATATTAAATAAACCAACTGACCCAAAAATTCAACCGTTAAAGGAAAAATTTAGTCGCCCCTCATTTGCACCATATCCATATTCATACGAAATCGATCATTTAGAATATTCAAAAGGAAACGTTACTTATTTATTTGCCATTAACATTAACACTAGATATTTATATTGCATTCCAGTGAAAGGGAAAACAGAACAGGAAACAAGAAGAGCTATTCAATACTTACTAGATCATGAAAGAGTAGATAATATCAGGGGTGATAGTGATAAAGGATTTCAGGCAGCTATGGCTCATTATTTCCCACAAATTAATTTTTACTTTTCATCCTCTCCATATACGTTTCATAATAAAATAGTTGATGCGGTAATGAGAACTCTTAGAGATGCGTTAGGGATTAACGGTCAGATATACTGGGATGGAAATCATGACTCCATCATACAGCAGTTAGTATATTATTACAATAATACATGGCATAGAACTATAAACATGAAACCAGTGGAAATGAAAAATGATATTTCAAAAGAATGGGAATATATTAGAAAGCAAATGGAAAGGTTAAATGATGTTAAACGTGAACAAATTAATTCGGGGCTCATGAATTTTAAACAAGGAGATAAAGTTTTGATTCATCTCGATTATGGAAAAACTGATAAATCAATGACAAAAAGAAGACGAAGATTTGACACAATAGCTGAATTTGTTAGATATATTAACGGTAATGTATTAGTTGAGGTTAACAATAAATTAATAGAAATTCCGATTTATTTTATTACTTCATTATATTTAAATAATATTTAATTTTTTTTATTTCGTAAGAAATGAGTGACAACAAAGCATCCAAGAGTCCAGACAATGAATATAAAAAGAAACTAAACAGAATTAAATCAAAAATATGCTATTACAAAAAGAAGCCGCAATGTGGTGGGGTTGAAAACTATCAAGAGAGGAAAGAAATAATCGAAAAATTAAAAACTTACCGTTCAATCCTTAAACTGAGTGAAGCAAAAATAAAAGAATTTAATAGAATAAATAAATTGATTAGAAGAGATGAATTTAATAAAGATGAATTTTTAAACTCAATCCAAATTTAATTTTTATTTTTCTTTGACAACATCTCTCTTTCCATCATTACTGCATAACCACATTTTCTCAGTTTTAGTGGTTTGTTATTTTTAGCAAGTTCTTGCATCATTTTTATCATTTCCTCCCTTGTTATGATTCGTGGTAAATTTTGAGCTTGTGGGGTATTCATTTATGATAAAAATAAAATTTTGTTATCAGTTATTTTATCATTAATGGTTTTTAGGTTCTTCAATAATTAATTCAAATCATAACACCATGTTTGTTTACCGTCTATTCTTCTCTGATGTTGTCATTACTGTCTTTACATACAAAATAAATAAAACTAACTTTATTTTCTGACTTTCACAAAAGACCAAAAATAAACGCTTTACATGTATTTTTCAGCAACTTCGTCAAATAATTTTATAGCTTTATCTATCTCATCTACTTCAAACGTTTCTTTACCTTTCGTGGGAGCACCATACATTTTCTCAAAAACTTCAAGCAGTTCTGTTTCAGCAGCTCTCATATCATTAACGAACACAACCTTGACTCTATTGACTGTACTGTCATATCTTTGAGTTATATTATATGTCCTTCCTATCTTATATCTTTTGTGTTGAAGTCCTTCGGTTTCTGAACGATGTAAAGTAAGCCTTCACTGCAACGTTCCGTATCGAATGAACCATGTGTTATGAAGTTATATCCAACAACTGGGTCTAACCATAACAAAACTATTGGTATAAGACTTTTGTCTATAAGATATGCTCTTGTTCCATGAAATGCTACTGATATCATAAGCTCAGGATTTCTTGTCAAAATTTTCTGAGTAGAAGCAATTCTAACCCAGTCCTTTGTTTTCTTTCCAGAAGGTGTTATAATGTCTGACAAAGAATATTTGTTGTATTTCTTTGAGTATCTTACGTTTAAATCACCTATTCTAACCACTTTGGTGTCATTGTCTATCTTTCTAACTGTTTCAAACTCAATGTTTGTCATTACTGTCTTTACATACAAAATAAAAAATAAATAAAAATAAAATTCATTATTTTTGAAGAACTGAAGGTGTCACTATGTCACTATGTGTCACTCGGTTATTTAAATTCTCTGAAAAATGATGACAACATGACATTTTGACAACATCATAGGTTCTTCAATAATGCTTCATGAATGCCTTCCTCATTAATGTTTTTAGGTTCTTCAATAATTCATTATTTTTGAAGAACTGAAGGTGTCACTATGTCACTATGTGTCACTCGGTTATTTAAATTCTCTGAAAAATGATGACAACATGACATTTTGACAACATCATAGTGGGATTAATGCAAAAATAAATTCCAATCGTACTTTATAAAGCAAGACCTTCAGGTCTCGCCGCTTAGCGGCTCATTTACAGGTATTTCATCGTCAGTAAATGAATCCTCATTATCGTTTGGTTCAACCTGTTTATATAATCCTTTCATTTCTTCTTTCAAAACATAATACCATGTCTGTTTACCATCTATTCTTCTCTGTTTCTTATCACATTTATCCTTAATACTCATTTGGAAATTCTTGTCTTTCATGTCTGATGGTTTGCAGAATAGAGCATTTTTACACGTCATACCTACACACAATTCATCATAATGTGTATTTATCCATACATCTAAAGGATTTGTTGATAATTCAATTAAATCTTGTTTGGCTTCAGTCATCGGAATGATTCGTACATTAAATGATGAAAGGTCATATTGCATAAAATACGTCAGTAAATTATCATAAAATTCCTTAGTGCATGAATTCATCAAATTCTTGAAGTAATCAAATTGACCCTTAAATTTACCATTAACTCTTAAAACTACATATCTTCTGTCTCCAACTTCAATTTTGACAGGGTAGACGTTATTAGTTACGAAAATGAAGTTTGCAACGTTCTGAGCAGTTCTTCTGGGTTGATTCTTTTCATTAATTCTAATCTCATTATCCGTTATAATTGATTTCAAAGCGTTGAAGTTTGCGAGTCTATCTTCACCTACATTCTTGAGTTCATTAAGTACAAGAAACATTTTATTCTCAACTACTGAATTGAAATTACCCGTTAGCTCACCTATTTCGGTAATGTTTTTGCATGAATAACCAGCGAGAAGTTCAGAAATAATGTCTGTAAATCTGTTTTTACCTGTTCCCTGAAGTCCTTTCAAAATAATTGTTGTTTCATTCTTGATTCCAGGATGTTGAATCATTGATGCAATCCAGCCGAGAAGGTATTTATACACTTCATCGTTATTATCACAAATGACTTCTTTAATGAAATTCATAAACATCTCAATTTTTGAGTAATCTGGTTTTTCGAGAACGTTGTATTTATAACCTTGAAACGTTGAGAAAACATCGGGGGAATCAGATTTAAAGCAAACACCCTTAACGGTTAATGAAGACAATTGATTTAGTAGTACATCCCATGCTGTTATTGTTTTACCTTCTTCTTTAAATAATTTAATCATTTTAAGTGACTCTTTCATGTTTGATTGAAGAACGAATGATATTTGATTCATTTTGTCGTGTATGTTGTAATCTTTCTGAATGAAATATTTGTTTCCACAATCTACGAAACGGATTACACGTGATAAATCCTCAATTACTTCAGAACTGTTTTTATACTGATGATTTTCAGCCTTGCGTCTAATATCTGTTATCAAAAACGAGTCATCAAGTTTGATATCAAATGTTATTTTTGGCTTACGTAATAAAGGTAAAACATATTCATCATAATATTCCTTTTGATATAGTTTTAGAATCTTCACTAAAACAAATGGAGAAGTCATTAAATGTGCATATCTACAACGTGCTTTTTCAAAATTACTTTTTGCATTTTCTGTTAAATTGCAGAAGTTATAAACGTTGTCGTATGCTTCATTAATTAAATGATTAGGTAACGAATTAATAGCTTGAAACAGTGTGAATAATGTAACTTCTTTTTCTAAATTCATGTTTCCACCGTCATTATGTACTTCAAAATCACTCATGCCATCAACTATGCTTTGAGCAAGTTTATCGTCAATGTTTACATCTTTGTTTTCATTCATGATAGTCTTTATTTCTTCATTCTTCTGTTCAACTCTTACCTTAATATTCAAATCATTTAATATATCATTCACTGTTCTAGTTAATGTTGAATCATAACTTCCACGAATGAATGAGTATGTATTGATTGGTTCTGTTGCATTCTTGCGAACTCTTGAATCAGCCATAACCACTAAAGAACGTTTTGAATCATCCATAGAAGTCATTATATCAATATCATAATCATTGCAGGAATAACATTTAATCATTCTGTTCGAAACTGCATAGAAGAAATTAGTGTTGCAATAAATGTGAAGACCTCCTGAAGCTGTTTTAACGATAACATCTTTATCCGAAAGTTTTGATAGAATGTCTTTTCTAACTGTTTCTTTAAGTTCATCATTGTACGATTTATTGATATCAACATCTATAATCGTTAAATTCGAAATTTTATTTACTAATAAAGCCATACCAGTTTTCCTTCCTCTTCCTCCATCGTATTTGAGGTAGTTATGTAAATCAATCTTGTTTTCACCAATTCTTTCGTTGAGGGTTTTAGTTTCTGCCATAACTAATTCCTCAGCTAATTTCTCAACTAATGAATCAATAACTTTTTCATCAGAAACGATATAGTTGCTGTTGTTGTTTGTTGCTGTCATTTATATAGGAATAAAAAAATAAAAATAATTTTAAAACTAACTTTATTTTTGGGCTACATCAAATTTCATTCTTGTTGTCAAAATGTCATGTTGTCATCATTTTTCAGAGAATTTAAATAACCGAGTGACACATAGTGACATAGTGACACCTTCAGTTCTTCAAAAATAATGAATTATTGAAGAACCTAAAAACATTAATGAGGAAGGCATTCATGAAGCATTATTGAAGAACCTATGATGTTGTCAAAATGTCATGTTGTCATCATTTTTCAGAGAATTTAAATAACCGAGTGACACATAGTGACATAGTGACACCTTCAGTTCTTCAAAAATAATGAATTATTGAAGAACCTAGTAGCAGTGAAATAAAATTTTGTTATCAGTTATTTTATCATCGTTTTATTAAGTTCATCTTTAGTTAATAATTTGAATGGATTCGCTAATGTTCCACCTTGAGTCACATCACCTGCCCTGGCTAATTGTGAAGAACCTGGGATAATTACTCCACGAAATGATTTCATTGGTATCATTAATTTAGAAATAGTTGGCTTAATTAATTTTGTCATTTATGATAAAAATAAAATTACATAATTTAAAATTTTTTCTTTCTCATTTTCTCATCCTGTTTTGGTTTCAGCAACTTTTCAAGTTGTTGTCTTGTCAGTAACTTGAATTTTAACTTTGGATCAAATATTGGGTTTCCATCTTTATCTCTTCCAATAACACCATATGGTAGAATCTTCATTTATACTAAAATAAAAATTTAAATTATGCCGTTCACTCTTTTGGAGCTCAGGACTTTCAGTCCGTTCTAAAGTTTGTTTCACAAACATTGAGCGTTCATTGAACTCTATACCATGCGTAAACTGTCATGTAAGGTGGCATGTAGTCTTTACTTTGTCCCGTTGTTTGTGTATATCCTGAAACGAAATGTGTATGGTTTCCTTCTCCCTGAGTGTCACTCCAGTAACAATTTATAGCAAACTTAACGTTATCTTTAACATCATATCCTTTACCTTTTGTCATTCCTGACCAATCCCAATATCTATGCTTATGCCAACCCGCTTGAGATGTGCTTAAATCTATGTAGTGACTGTGTGCAGGTAAATTTTCACCTGTAATCGTTTTACTTCCACCCATTTCCTTTGAAGAGTTTGCACAATACAAAAACCTGTCGACTATTTGTTCCCATGCACCAACACCAAACATTGCTTGAGGACCTCTCGCATCCATAGATGTATAAATAGAACCTACTGGGTTCATTAAATCGAACATATGAGATAATATAGGATTGTCTATTTTGAACTTAAAATATAGCGCAACTATTTCAGGTTTCTTTTGGTTTGTGTCAGAATATTTTTTATAATATAATCTTATGTTTTCAGGGTAGGTAAAATCTTGACTATAATATTTATTTTTGTCATCTATATAATAATATACTATTCTCGTTTTTTCTATTGCATTATATCTTTTATATCTATAATAATCTAAATATAATGTTAACTTTTGTTCATCTACATGTGGTGTTCTCTCGTCATCTCCATAGTCATAATAATATGGTGCTGGAGCTAGGTGAGACAATGTCATATCTGTCATTTCATAAACTCTTAAATATTTCTTTTGTTCGTCTCCATATAAGTTTAAGTAACAGTTGTTGTCTAATGGAACTTTAACTTGTGTATCATCATTCTTTATATAGCTTACATACATTTCATTGTTATTTTTCGGAATGAGTTTATACCGTATACCGTTTTTTAAGGAATGTACCATTTGCCATCTAAAATATTTATTTTCTTCATTGACGGAAAAGTCACCAACAATAGTTTCAATATTTTCAGTTGTTCCTATCAAACTTTGGTATATTTCATTCACATATTCCTTATCTGCCTTCTTCTCTAACTCACTGTTGACATATTCCTTATCTGCTTTAAGGTCTAAACATCCTGAAACCCATCCTGTATCAGCTTTAGATTTTAAAATACTTGATGTCCATTCATGATACCATTCAACCCTTTCTTTAATTTCATTATCTTTTTCATTAACATATTCCTTATTTGCCTTCTTCATTAACTCACTAGCCACATATTCCTTATCTGCTTTCTTCATTAACTCACTGTTGACATATTCCTTATTTGCCTTCTTCATTAACTCACTAGCCACATATTCCTTATCTGCTTTCTTCATTATGTCATTTAGGAAACCTTTTATGAATTCCTCATTTAAATTAAATCTTCCAATCTTCAAAACTTTAGGAAATGCATTTAATGCGTAATATCTTTGTTCTTCTGGTGGAATTGATGTTATATCATCCGTTATTCCTTTAATTTTTGAATTCATAAATAAAATTTCTTTTATATTTGATATCACTGCACCACCTTTGCAAACGAATTCGAAATGGTCATTTTTCAATACTATCTCCAAATCTCCATATTTCAACCTTTGTGTTTGTTCTGCCGTCTTTGAATTATATGCATATATGGCGTATGTAATGGTCTGAGGGACCTGGGTGCTTTGCGCCTTAAGTTGTTGTGGTTGCTGTTGTTTAATCATTTATTATGATTTAAAAATATTTAATCTGTTATCTCATCAGCTATTTTTTCTATTTGAAATTGCCATAATATTTCATTCATGAATTCTAAATCACAATCAAATAGGTCAGTTATTCTAAATTTAATATTTGATAAATCTTTTGAATGAAGAATAAATGAATTCCCGGATAATTGAAACGGATATGATAAAGAAAATGTGTTTAAGTTGATGGATAAAATGTTTTGTATTGATGGGTAAGAGTTAGGGTCTAATGTTTGATGTGAAAATCTCATTGGGGTATTAACTTTATCACATTTGATTAAAATGAAATTGGAACCAGTGTCAGAATACAAAACATCCCCAACATCTTTTTCAAAATTTAATATCCCCAACAATGAACGAAAATGAGGAGTACAAAATTTAATTTTCAGCGGGAATTTAATAAGGTTATTTATTTCATCAAGTTCAAAAAGTTTATCGGGTTTTGATTTAAAATTTTCTTCATACCATACGATAAATGATTCATTTAAATAACTTAAAATCGTGTTAATATCCCATTTCGTTATCACATTATTTATATACATATCATACGTTTTTTCACGGTCATCTTTAATAAATGATATATAATCTGAAGGGTCTAAAAGAATGGGATTAAATTTACCACTCACAGAAACGAGAGTAACATTATAAATTCCACTAACTGTTAAATTTAATTCACAGTTATTATTCGAAATAATATTGATAATTGACATTTTTATTACAATTAAAAATATGGTAAAGCGTTATTTTCCAGTGATAAATAAAACTAGAATAAGATTACCTCAAGAATTCATAAATTCAACGAATAAGAAATTCATTCATGTTATAAATTTTAGTGTTTTCAGAAAATATGAGTCGATGTCATATTCATCATCAGGTTATATTTCACTTCATTCAAATTTAGTTCAATCAAACCCATATAATGACCATTTCATAAGATTTTCAGATGGTATTAAAAATGTAATTGATAGATTAAAATATGAACAGATTGACAATATCGAATTTTTGGAATTTTGGTTTAAATATCCTGATGGAAAAAAGATTGAAGTTAAAGATAAAGCTGATACTATAACAAAAACAATTACAATGACCGATCCGGATAGTGGGGAACAAAAAGAAATAAAACAAACGATAGAAACTGGTGAAAGGTCAATTATTATTGATTATGATTCAAAGGATTATTATTCGATAATGTTAATGCTTGAATATTAAATAGCCTTAACAAAGAATTTTTCAAGTGATATTTTATATTCATCAACTATTTTATTGTATATGTTATTATAAGTTAAATGTAGTTCAGTTGTTGTTCCATTCTTTGATATCTTAATCGTGCTAATATCCTTTATAGGATTTATTTTTGCAACTGTTCCGCAGCATGAAACCTCATCATCTATGAAAAATTGAATCTTAACGTCTGAATCTTGAACATCACAAAGAATGGCGATAATGTGAATTAATGATTCATAAGGTAAAATAATTAAACCAGATTGATCAATTAAATTTATTATTGAATCGTAATTATCAGTTATTATATCACGGTAAATTTTCATTAATTCTGAATTAATGTCTATTTTATATGGCGCATTGCGACTGGAATCGCAGATTCCTGGGTTCTCGATGTTTGATGAAAGAGGTGGGGGGTATGTTGGATAAGTGGGAATTTCAACAGGTTCTTTACCAGGTTCAGATAAAATGATTGGGTCTCCTTTCTCATGGTTTTCTTCATTCTCCTCATTCTTCGGTAAGTCACGAGTTAATAAATTTGGTTGAGTTGCTGACCTTGTTAATTCAGGACTAACATTAACTTTAACATTTTGAATAATTCGTGATTTATCATCATTTACGTTATAACCAACCGTAATCTCTGCTTTTGCGTTTGTGTTCTTTTGACTTGTGAAACGTCTTCTCATTTATAATTGAATAAAAAAAGAAAAATATATTTAAAGTTTTATTTAGTTGTTACGGTAATATCCCAAGGTTCATCCTAGTTTGCTTATACTTTCTTTGTAACTGCACCAATTATGTTATCGATAATGATTTGAGTTTCTTCCAGTCTTATTTTATCATTTACAATATCTTTAATCATTTCATTACATGCATTCTTAAAACCATCTGATTTTTCTAATTTACGTCTATCACTTTCTTTAATTAAATCAAAGTTATAACCTCGTTGAGAATAAAGTGGTTTCTTTATCAATTCCTTGAACGCTTCTGAAAGTGAAGATGAAGAAATTCTTGCCACTTGAATTGGTTTAAATTCTGCTTTCATTGCTTCTTTCTGTTCATTGAACACTGGATCGAATAAAGCAACTTTAAAGAATTTCTTAGCTGAAATTTCGGGTCTAATATTTGCATATTGACCATCAAACTGGTTAGAATATCGTGGTAATCCATCCGGTCCCTCTTCAATAGCATTGAATTCTTCATTGAAATAAGAATATGGATTACCACGATATGAATTAATTGGACCATTTTCACCTTCTCTAATGTATTGTTTAACAGCTTTTCCATTTTCATCAAATTGCATAGGATAACGTTCATTATATGCTTTACGTTTAGGATAATCAGATACAGTTAATTTATAACCATTTATGACTTTAATATTACCTTGACCATCAGTAACGAAAACTTCATTTATACCATCAGGTTTTCCATTTGGACCCGTAATGTCTGCTTCGTGTGCTTCCCAATTTGGACCATGACGTTTGGCATATGCTTGAGCTTCTGGTAATGTTAAAACATTTCTCATTTGTTTAACATCTTTTTGAAGACCAGCAACAATATGAACTAATTCTTTCATTCCATCAGGAACTTTCATAGTTCTATTATATGCACCCTTTTTGTTTGTTCCTTGTTTTAATGGAACCTGTAGAAGATTTGCTATTTCTGTCATGTTTAATTATAAATAAAAAATAAAAATTAATTATAAAAAGTTAATCAAATTTAACACCTCCTTTATTTAAATCAACTATTATTTTTCCATGTTCACCTAATTGCTGATATTGTGTGTAAAGTTCATTAATGCTCATTGGTAAATTCACTTGATAAAGCATAACGTTCAACTGTTGACGACTAAAACCACTGAAAATGAAAAGGGTGGACAGGTTTGATTTAATGTTTGTGCTTAATGCTTTAAAGTATTGAACAGCCATAAAGAATGAACATTGAATATGTCGACATTGAGTTAATAATTGATTAAAATATGATTTCTCATTAGTTATTAGTTTTGATTTCACGCATCATCTAGAAAAATTAGTGAATGCAAAAATTCTTTATCAAAATTTGAAATAGAAAGTGTTTCAAATAATTCATCCCGTTGTTTATCAATAATTTTATCCTCTAATCCTTGCTTCTTGATTGTATTATATAATTCTTTATACATTAAAAAGTTTTTTAAATAATCTTCTGCTTCTTCTTGTGATAAATAAATAATTGGAATTTTGATTAAATGCTTTAAAGATTCAAATGTATCATCTGAAGGTGAACCTGAACGGTTGATATAAATTAACACATGTGAATGGGGGAGTGTTAGCAATAATGATAATTTGTTTTAATATCGTTAATGTTTTACCTTTATTTTGTTTACCAATTGCTGCAGTGATTGAATTTAAGTAACATTCAGAATATGGAATTTTCATTAATTTTTCCTTAGATAGAGCATTTCTATTATCACTCAATGCTTCATTAATCATATCATCTACATATGTATTATATACTCCGCTAATTCTTCATAAGGGGTGGATGAATTTAAATCCATTTAATCAAAAATAAATTTATAATTTTAAACATTTCTATTCATCAATATTTCATCATATGAACTTCTATACTGTGGTGGTGTACCTGTTGGATGATATTTCAAACCTTCATCCGGTGTCCATGTCCAATATGTAGTCCTAGTAAACCAAACCTGAGGAGGATTTGTCACCTTTGAACAGTAAGTGTCATTTTCACCCTGAATGATTGGATAAGCTTTCACTTGTACTGTAACTTGTGAGTTGAAAGTTTCTAATCCATCAAAGAATATACCCGCTCCATCACGTTGAACTGGAATAGTGCATAAGAATGAAGTTTGGTCTTTCCATGTTCTAGCTAATGGCGTGCCATCATCTGCATTCAGTGGTCTAGTTAATGAGTCCTCGTATTCTTCTGTGCATTCGTTCACTCCATCTAAATCAGAAGCTTGAAGCATACGTGTAAAGAATATGTCACCCACTGTGGTCATCGCTTGATCGGGGAAGTTTCTGGAATCTATAGTGACCTGAAGACCTCGAAGCATTGGATTTTCCAAAACTGTTCTTTGCATTGCATTCTTCGGAAATGTTAACACAACATCTGTAACATTATGAAGAGCGTATGAGAAATCAGAGCTAATACCTTCAGGAGTGATGCATCCTCCATTTAGTGAACGAACGTCAATATGTTGAGCTGGAATCATGAATGGATCTTCCTTACTGAATAAACGTGGTATTGTTTTAACTGATTCTTCAATTAAACCGTATCCTGGTGTAATGCATTTATCCTCTAAAACTTCCATCTTTGTGCATGAAATAATAACGTCATCAACTGTTGCGTCAGCAGATGTAGCGGCTAAGCTTGTAATTAATTTGGCAGGAAGTCCGATTTGTTGGAATTTGCGATCATATTTATAAACATGATTCATAATCTTTTCATAATTTTCATCAGTTATCTTTTCATAAACGTAATTTTGTAAATCAGCAACTCTTAACGGGTCAACCTGACAAAATACTAAAGTATCCCTGAAAACATAATATTTAAGAATGATATCACCAAATGATTTAGGATAATCATCGAACGCCTGAAATGCTAACAAATCATTTACCGGAATAATCATATCAAAAGTGACATCAACTTCTTCATTTGCTTTCTTGAAAACTTCTGAAGGGTCAATATATTTACCACATACTGAGTTATCATATTTTTGAACATTATTATATAACGAATGAACAAACTTTTTAACTTTC